CCTTTTTTGGTGAGACTTCAAAGTTGGCAGTCAAGCAGGCACAGCACTGGATGTGCCAGGCTCGTGACAGAGCTGACCTGCCTGGATGCCAGCAGGGAGGTGGGAGCAGGGCGTGCCAGTGCCCGTGAGCTGCTCTGCACTGCAGAGACTGGAGCAGAGAAGCTTCAGAGAGGTTCAGAGGTGGTCTCAGCACTGATACCCCATATCAAGAGCAAACATTTCCTGCATGTCACTGGAGCATCACTTGTCCACCTACAGGGATGTTTCACTGTCATCAAAGCAACTAAGAGACTCATCAGGGACATCTTTTACCTGGTTTCTCTGCCCTTTCAGTTCTGCATGCTCTACTCTTTGGCCAAGGCAAAAGGCCTCAGCTACCTCATCACTACTATTATCACTTAACTGTACATCAATTAAAATTAGGATTTTGTGCCAAGTTACACTAGTTTTAATATAAAATCCTGCAAGATTTGTCCTTGTGACTTTTAATTGGTCTAGCATTGATTTATTTGAACTACTTTTCCATTAAAGAGATGATCAAGCTTGCGCCAAAGATGCTGGAGCAGATATTGAGCTATGACTGATACTTCCTACCTCTTGGAAGCAAGGCTTTCCTTACAGGAGCATTAAGATGATAGAACTCACACATACTTCATTTATCTTGGGAGCAGGCTCCTCTGTAAAAGAAACTGGCATGACCTGAAAAGTAGGGGGAAAAATTCTTTCCACTCCAGCCCTCCCCCAAATCTTTTTGTGGGAAACACAACTGTGTTTCTGATGCTAAAATTCACAGATTTAAAAATACTTCTCTTCAAGGAATGTTGCCATGGAAACCTTTACCGTGTCTCCTTCCCCACCCTCCATATGTGAAGAACATTTTCTAAGTCTTTTTTTTTCTGCATGTGGTAGTTCCTCTCCTCTCTCTGCTACCACCAAAACCCTGGCATTGAATCCTAAGAGATGTCAAACAGGCCTTTTTTTAAATTGAAAAGTCACTGCTAAAACCCACTCCTGAGCTGAACTACAAAGAGGTGTCAAGATGGGTTCATATTGTCAGGCTCCAGAGAAATGCCTGGAATATTTTCTAGCAGTTCTTGCTTTGGACAAGTGGAAAGAAGCAACAGGAGCTGCCATGGTCATTAAAACAGTGTCACTTCCTGGCAGCATAACCCAAATGTGATGAAGATTTTCCTTTATGCCTTCCTGAAGGTACTGCTTTTGCCCTAAAGCCAGAAGAGGATCTGAGCACAAAAAGGAGGTCAATAATTGACTGTGCAGGTGAGAGTGTTTTCCTGAACTGGACTGCCAACAGCCCCAAGTTCATATAACTGCACAGCTAGTGGGGGAGCTGGCAGAACAGCTGCCCAAGGGACTTGAAGTCAGCAAACATCCACCCTACCCAATAACCAACATTTACTTTTGCAGCAAGTAGGACAGAAATTCCCAAGACCATCCTTTCCATGTTACAACAGAAAAAAAACCCATGCAGCTCTAAACTCTGTGGTGTGTGCCACAGCCACTACCAGCAAGTCCTTAAACTGCTGGGAACAGAAGGATATTACTATTATTAATAGGATATTAATCTGCAATGGTGCTTCTATATGTAGCTCATGTTAATTAAAATGTAGAGATAACAGCATAATGGGATGCTAGATCAATAAATTGCCTCCTCTGCACAAAGTTGTTAATAACTGCCCCACCAGCTGCCACCAGGACAAAGGGCAAAAGTAAAAGGCTTTGCCAGCCATAAAGATCATTAGCAATGGCCTGGCTGCTCCCACCACCTGTGCTGGCTGCCTGCTCCCAATGGCAGCAGGTTGCCCAGGCACAGAGATACACTTGGCCTCTTACCTTTTGTGAGTTTGCAGCTCTCAGTAGAAACCTGTCCTACAGTAAGAGTCTAAGGAATTAAATGACACCTTTTCTCAGTGCCTTTCAAAACCATCCTGTCAACTTTGTAAAGCAGCTTGCTAGTGTAGAGCAGGAATATGAACCATAAAAAGCAACAATTCCCTATATTATAGTAACCTCCCCCTCTTGGCTTTCTTCCCAGACTAAGACTTTTTCCACAGGTTGAAGTGCTTGCCCACATCCCCCACATAACAGGCAGAAGGCATCTCTGGACTTCATACATGTCCTCAGTGTGTGGGTCGAGCAGCACTGACAAAGCCCAGTGCTCTGCAGCCTGGACTCCTGGGATCAGTCACTGCACCAGGCCAGGCACTGACCCCGGCTCTTCCCCGGGCTGGCACTGACAGTGCTGCGGCTGTGGCTGACATCCTGGGGCACGGCTAGCACAGACACCCTGTCTCAGTCATCTTCTCTTCTCCACACAAAATTTGCAGAAACACAAGAGTGTACAGAATTCAAATCCCTGCCAAATGCAGCTGATTTGGCCCAAGGGCTCAGAAGTTAGTTCTTGTAAGAGAAAGGGGAAAATGGCCAGAAGTGAGTGGGAAGAGTGCACACCCTATGAACACAAGTCTTTCTCAGGAAACCAGGCCAAACAAGAACCAGTGACAGTGCATGCCAGACAAGGGGTGAGGGCAGAAATGGGAGAAATTTGATTTTCAATCTTCAAATCAAAATAGATTAAAACTTCCTAAGAAAGCTCCATTCCATGGACATTTCCATACTAAAAAATGAGTTTGCTGCACAAGGATCCATAGCTGGGCTGATGAGTGTTGCACTAAATAGCCATAGTTGGGCTGTGTGAAGTGACAGACACACATAGAGCAAGGAATGGAAACCTACAGACTTGAGCAAACAATGTGGCTGTGACCTTAGTGTCACTCCCAGCAGTGCATTACAAATGTCTGAGAGTGCCTTACCCTCCTTTCCCTCCATGCTCAACACATTTCCATAACTGATGAGTCAGGCTGGTTTTTCTGAAAGCAGTTTTGAGCAAACACAAACTGATCATTGGCTTTCTCCAGCACACTGAGCCACATTCTTCTCCTGTATCAGTCATGGACTCCTGTAGCAAGCTTGATCACCAGCACAGCCTACGGATGCAGGCAAATGGAAAATTCGTAACAAATTATATGGAATCACTCCCATTTTTGATTCCTGTAACCCTGAAGGGGCTGTTGCAAGGCAGTTTGATCAGCTCCAGCAAGACATAGAAATTACTCTTGGGAAGCTTTTCTAGTGTTTGAAAGCTTCACTCCTAAAGCAGATCTTCACCACCCAGTTATATTCCTTGTTCAGTTGCTAGCAGAGACAGTGCTATCCTACTGTATTTTCCAAAGAAGGGAGTAGCTTAATCTTCTTTTTGCCTCCTCTGCACGTCCAAGGATGTTTTAAAATGAAAATTCTTTACCACTCTGATTTCTCCAGAAGGTTTAGGAAACATCTGCAACCTTCAAGAAAAACAGGCCTTTTTGCATAAGCAGTGAAGCAAAGCCTAACATGAATTGCCATCTGGGGACATGACCAACCTTTAGTGAAGTGGAGGTCAGATTAGCAAGAGCTTTCTTGCAGTTCATTATAAAAATCAATTCAAGAAAGACAGGAAGCTGAACTGCACAACTCTCCCTTTTCTGCCCAACATCTCCGTATCATTTTACCCCAACAGAAGCTACACTGGGGGGCATCTGAATCTCTACAGCTCCATCAAAAGCAGAGATGGCATGTTAAACCCAAGAGCAGAATTTTCTTTGTCTGGTGCCCACAGAGGATGGCATCAGCTGTTAAACCCCATAAGTGCTGACAGGATTGCATTCAGGCTGGCACACCTCACACACACACCTCTTTTTAAAAGAGCAGCAGATTTCCTGACCTGGAAGGTATATCTGTAGAAAAAAGAACTGCAGTTACCAGTTACACATACTCTGCCCAAGCAGTAAAAAGTAGCTCTAATGGGAGGCACACCCTCTTGGCCTGCTCTGTGGTGCACAGGAGCTGTGTACACTTAAGCAGACACAGCTGATAAACCCCTCACCTACCACCACACAGCTGCTGGGTGGGAAGGGGGCTAGGAACTGGAGCTAACAGAGAAGTCAGGTGTATGGAGGAAAGACTTATGAAGATCAGATAAAGAGAAAAATGTAAAAGACAGGGAAGAAGCACAACATGAACAGTAAGGCAGATGGCAATTACTCCAATGACATGATGGGGTAGGAGGTTCCTGCCTTGCAATCCGTTCAGTGGGGCTCTGCATGGAGATATCCTATGACTGGCAAAAAAAGAAAGTAAGAAGCAGGAAAAAGCAAGTGAATATGCAACATTTGATGCTTCTTTGGTGGTCACACATTTTGAAAGAGGAAAAGGATTCTTTGAAAGGCTTTTAAGTTATTAAGTACATTAATCTAGAGCCCTATGAAATCAGCACTCTCCAGTACTTGCATGATGAGTCTCATGCTGACCCAGTGCTGAATAAATTCCAAGCATCTGTCAATTTCTGTTGATTGGATTAGACACTGCCCTCAAAATTGTCAGGTTAGAGACTCCCTTTCTTGGGGCTTTGTTCTGTGGTTTTATTTCTTTCATCGTATTATTACTGATGCTTCTGTTTTTTAAGGGGACAAATCAATTTTATTCCTCTTGGTTTACTAGCATTTCTCAATCATCCTTTTTCTTGCAACCCCACAGCATGGCAAGATTACACAGCATGAGAACTAGTGGTGCTATTCTCACCCCAGTTTATTTCTCTCTTTCTCACACTCACACATACTGCTCACAGGATATATCTGTTCTTCCTGACAGATATAGCTCAAGGGAGAGAAAGACACTTTGAATAAAAATACCTATATATAGAGAAAGGCTTTGTCCTTGTGTCTCCAAGGTCTTATATAGCTAGGATTTAGAAGAAGCATTCCACTGGATAAGAGGGGCACTCTTACCCAGCTCTGGCTGCTATTGGAAAGAGGCTGGGTTAACCAGAGCTCTGGTCTTTGACTAGCTGACATTCAGTAGTTCATCCATACACCACTGCAAGGTTTTGTTGCTTCCTTTGCAAAGATTTAGCCAGAGATCCAAAAGCAAATATAAACGAAACATAAAGATTAAATCTACTTTAATATGATTACTGGTTGAATTAGAGAAAATACCCAAGATAGGCATGAGGTTAAGAATATGCAAGGTAAAAAAATCTGGATATAAAATTCCTTGGCTGGGTAAACATGGTGCCAGTATGATTCTCCTTAAGACCCTTGGTCAGAGCTTCACAGCTGGCACTTTTAACCCCTTGTTTTACTTGCTCTTAGCTTCTCTTAGACACTGTTATCCAGGCTTCCTCCTTTGGTGAGGTTACCAGTTCATATTTTGCCTCCATGACTTGTCCTTTCACTGGGTGGAGATACAGCTTCCTTACCAGGACACTCAGCAGAACTGTGGCCACCATGTAGGCAAACCTGAGGGAAGAATAAGGAGAAAAAAATATAAACCTTGCTATGATGTAAATTTGCCAAAGGACAACAGCCAGCTTGGACAGGTTGTCCAGCAGTAACACCAAGATGCTGGAAGGACCTTCTCTTCTGTCTGCCACAGAGAGTCATTAAGATCTCCTTCCCTATGCTCACCTCAACTCTGGGCACTCCTGGCTTCCTGAGAAACCCAACAAGGAGAGGTTTTTCATGGCTAATTCCTCATTGAATCTGTCTGGGTCAAACCTACAAAAGATGAAGCACATTAGGGTTTTCTGAGCAGGCACAGCATCCTTTCCCCAGAAACATGCACACACACACCCCAAGTAAAAAACCAGAAATGAAACAGAGAATCTCACTAATTTGTACTCTCTGTGTCATTCCACACAAATGTATGAAGGCAATTGTGCATCCATTCCATCAATGTTCCCAGCTGGTCAGCTGTGTCCCATCTTGGCCAAAATGCTGACAAACTGACAAACAGGGCTGGAACTAATGTGCAGTACACAGCTGAGCTGACGCTGTTACCTGCCCTCTATTCCTCTCCAGGGCACACGCAATCTCATTTGTCTCTCTCTCTCCCTCTCTCTGCCTCTCTGAGTACCTTCCTTTTTCACTTCCAAAAATATTTCCCTTTTCTCCTTGCCCCTCACCGTTCTCTTCAAGCAGCTGGTGTGTGTATGTGTATGTGCTGGGGGAGGGAAGCCAGTGACTCACTGAAGTGAGAAAAGTGGTTTCCAGCTTTAGGATGGTAGAGACTGTGAGAAAGCTATTATCCAGGGCTGGCATGAGTTAAAACAAGGGAAACAAATAAAATAAATTTAAATATTCACCGCCCTCCAAACACAAAATTTGAGGGACTGAAGATGGTTCTTTTAAACCTTCGTGCTAAATACTTCAAGCCTTCACCTCCCTGCTTAAAGATCCAAGGTCTGCTTCTAACAAGGTAAAAGGGCATGTGGGTTCTGATGCTTGGGAAAAGCATTTCCCCTGAACTAAAGTGAAAATTACAGATTTTGTAACAGGAGAGAAACTGCACCTGCCTAGCAAAAAAGCAGGGAGAGCAAACAGTTTTTGTGTAGTAGGTGGGTGAAAGGATCACAGAGAGATGGTCTCCAACTTTTGTCATGGAAATCTTCATCTACCTCAAGCTAAACCTCAAGCCCAGCCTCCCTGAAACAAACATACAATGTCCATAGCAGTCCTCATTCTTGGTCCCACGGGGTCTCAGCAAACCTGAACACAGTTATGACCTGCCTTGGGAGGCAATCCCTGCCAAGGTGCTCATAGACTGGTGTATCAATGCCTGACCCCTTTCTAAAAAGTGTAATTGCAGGAGAGGACAAGTGTTGTTCTAAAGGCTCTATTCTTTCTCCTAAATCTCAACTGTCTGTTCTGTCTGTCTAGAATAACTGACCCACATTTTTTGTAGCCCAAGTGAAGTAAATCAGATACAGGTTAATATTTGCCACCTGGAGGCCACAGGAAGCTACAGCGATTTCTTTCTTTAACCTCCAAAACACTGGCCTAGATCCAGTTTTCACAGACAGACTGAAATATTGAGGCAGCATCTCTCTTCATCCTAAAAACCCACAACTTCAGACTGACATTTCCTCCCTTGCATAATTTCATGATGACGGAGCAGTGATTCCAAAGCCATTCAAGTCACTGTTTCACAGAAAACCTTTAACAGCAGTTACCAGCATCAGCCAGGGAAGCTCTGTGTATATGCACAAAAAAGTCTGTACTAAACCCTAACATATCCATGCACACACACAGACTGGAGCATCGGAGGAACCTAACTTTAACTGCCCCATAGCCATGCCCATGGAGACAAACAAACTCAGACTTTCATAAACTGATTTTCTTGCAGACTCTCTTTCATCTCCAGAATCTGCTTAAGGCAGGCCCTGCAGCACAAAAGGCTGTGCTGCAAGATCTAATTTAACAAAGCAAAGGAATTGGTTGCAATTTAGGTCGATTCTACATACTTGTATGGTGATGGCCAAGATGAGCTGTCCTGCAGAATCACACCAAGAGCATAAAGCACAAGTGTCTGCAAAAAGAATAACAACACGTCAATGCGGGAGGAAATGCATAAATAAAGACACCTCTCAATAGCTCTGCTGGATGATAATTATTTTGTAGACTACTCATATTTAGGTGGATTAAAAATATAATTATGCCATATTCATCTACAGATTTTCATAATCCATGCCCAAATGTTAGGATTTTAACTTCTAAGAATCATACTGCAATTGTTCATGGTTACAGAGGGTGTGACCCCATTTTTCTACGCTTGCCGAGATGTATGTATGCACTACTTCACTCTCAAGAAGGGAAGGTGATATGATGAAGCCCGAAACAATGCTCTTTTATGCATAACTAAGTCCATAGGCCAATTCAAAAGCTTACTCATCCAAGAAGCAGAAGCAAATCTGCTCAGCAAGAGAACATGAAATTGCAGAGTCCTTCCCACAGAGGAACTGCAGGCAAACTTTGAGCTAAACTGTACTTTCAGATGGCAGAGCACTTGCCCAGGTTCAACACTGAAGAAATGGTATTCCTGCCTCACTCTTGGTCTGGAAGAAGAGGAAACAGCAAATTTCCCAACAGGAAAGGAGAGTGGCCTAGAGCTCCCAGCACTGCCCTACCTCTTTGGGGATAGTGTGTTGGTCGACTCTGCCCTCGAGCTCCTGCAGCTGTGCAGCAATGGGAGTGAGCTTTGCTGTCCGCACTGTCTCACACAGGACTTGCCGACAATACCTGCAACCAGTAACCCTTGGTTAGTCTCAGAGAGAAGCTTGTCCACATCCTTGTGGCAACAAGCAGAGCAGAGTCAACTGCTTTATTTAGAGGCACTTCTTTTTTTTTTTTTCTGGCAATTATTTAGAGGCACTTCTTTTTTTTTTTTTTCTGGCAAGGAGTCCTAACATCTTTGTAAGAAGCATTAAATCTCATTAACAGCTTTTACAGGTTATTGGAATCCCTCTTCTTTCAGACTTTAAACCCAACTAAATCTACTAAAATGCATAAACACACCAGCCCTTTTCCTGTACCTCTCACTCATACAAGAAGCAGCAAGAAAACCACAAACTTGATATTCCCTCACTGAAACCCTAACACTAGTCCAAATACAAAATGCACCTGGTTGCACCAACATAACAAATGCAGAAAACATAAAGGCACACTGTTGACCATTCATCATTACTTGCAGCCCTTTGAAAAGATTGGTCCATACTTTCTCTCTAAATAGCTCTATATCCAACCATGAAAATGACTGATTACCACTCTGGAAAACTAGGACAGAAACCAAACAAGACAGTGAGCAAAAATTTTGGCCTGGCAGTCAGGGCACTGATTCTGTGCTTCTTCTCTGCTAGTGAACCTAAAAGGTTTCCTAGAGACACCCTAAAGTGAGCACCTTGGTCCCTGCGTCTGCAATGCCAGCAGATTCTCTCTATTCTGCAAGTCATCCTGTGGTTTGATTACTTACAGAAAGAAAGGGAGCAAGCAGCTTTTGGATGCCTTCTCCTGACCTAGTGCAGGCTAGGCATCAGATTCCACATGAAACACCTGTCCCCACCACATGACACAGCCTTCCTCTGCACTCCTTCTATAGGACCCACCTGAGCTGTTCCACTTTCTCATGTGTGATTGGTCCCTTCCCCAGAACACGGTCCATCTCCCTGTAGAGATTCTGCTGAACATCTTCTGAGGTTGTGAGGAAATAGACCGCCCAGGTGCACACTGGGGAAGGAATCAAGACAGGACTAGACCCAGAAAATTTAAACCTTTAAAAATGGCATTCAATTTTCTCACTTCCTATATTTTCAACATTACTTTTTGGCCTAAAAACAAGCTGGCCACTGTTCACAGCAGGCTGTGCTTATTCTGTATTCAGTGGCAGGAACAGAGGCTGAACTCCTGTGTAACAAGAGGCCCTGCAAGCTAAAATTCTCTTTCTGATACTATGAGGAGCTTTGCAGGACACTAAAGCACTCAGCCCCATAGCTCTGGCAAAGAGACCACACAGCCCAACTAACCCAGGGGAATCAGGGCTATTACACCAAGCATGCAAATGAAAGGCTGGTTTATTCAAAGCTTTAGAAAATTACCTTATTTGGGGGTCTTCCCTAGCACATCTCAGGCAAATGCTCCAGATAGCCAATGCCTGGGGCTCCTGAAGGGAGCTCTCTGCAGATGTTGGCCAGCACTTGTCCCCCTACATCTACTTTTTGAGGTATTTGAGATTATCTTCAATAGCAGAGTGAGAAAAAAACCTTGCATAAGAAGTAAGTGTGTAGGATGCAGTTTCCCTAAAGCTACAAGGAAATGTTTCTAGCTCTCAAAAATGTCTATTCATGAGAACTATCTGGAAACTTGGACTTGATGATCCTTCCAAATCAGAATATTCCGTGATTCTGTGAATCCATGAGGATTCAAGCCCCCTTAAAATTACAGTCTTCCTAGAGTACCTGGAGAGAATATTCTCTGGAGAGAGTATTACCATAGTTATCTGATTAACTTCCCATTCTTTAACACCTAGATGTATCTTGGAGGTTTTCTTTGGAGTCCCAGCCCCATTGGCTGAGGTACAAAGCCAGATAATCATCCCTTTATCATAAGGTATTTTACACAGCTTCAGTTAGTATTTTTATTTGTTTGGGTTTTTTTTCATAATCTTTGCATAAATCCCAGAGTAGCTTCTTTGAAAGTCCTCCATACATGGAACACACCAATTCTTCAGAAATTCAAAGCACCCAGACAGATACTAGCAATCTTTCTTCCTATGTGCCTGAACCTATTTTACAACATGACCTTTGTGGGTTATTTATGTTGGTGTTTTTCTTCATCAAATTTAGCATCAGTTGTCTGGGGTTAAGAATGCAAGCAAAAAGCAATGGGGACAGATTCTAAGGTTCACCATAAGACTGGAAAGGTTGTCAAACACAGCTTAGGTTCAGCTCACTAACTGTGAGGCTGTGTCAACAGTCTGATGTAAAAATTAGCTGCTTCTTCTATATCTGTAGCTCAGGAGAAAGAATGATTAATGCAATTTTTTATTAGCCTAGGGTAAGTCTCATGTCATCACACACAGTTTTTGGCAGCTGAGTGTAAGGATGGGAAGCTACCTACAGTAACTGTACTTACAGTTAGCGGTGATTACACATCCTGCCAAAGAGAAAATCATTGTATCTTCCAGAATCTAGGAAAGAAAATCTACTTCACGGAATGAAGTTCATAAGACTGTAAAGAGAATAAAGAACTGGCACACTCTCCACTCAAGCACATTAAATCCCTTTAGTACAGAGAGCAGGAAATGTATCTAGAAGACATATACTGAACTCTCTTTAGAACTTCCAATAGAATTGCACATGCCATGCTTAATATTAACATACTTCTGGTTTATAAAAATAGCTATGAAGCAGTGGCAAGGAAATCTACCAAAGTCTAATGAAATCAAACATTGCAGGAATAGAAAAAACTAAGCAGAAGCCCTGCTTTGGTAAAAAAGCTAAGCTAAGATGCAAGAACTTATATTAATCAAAGGCTACAATGTAATGAATTGCCCATCTGGCAAAACTCCATTACTGTGTAAGGAGGTAACAGCTGCACAGACCTGCTGGTCACTCAGGTTCCCCTGCAGCAAGGTGTCTATAAAGACATGCCTGTTGAATGATCTGCCTCGGCGCTCCTTCGTAACCTTCCTTAAGATGGATTCCATCTCCACCAGAGCTTTGGAAGAAAAAATAAATGCTTATTTTAAAACCTGGTCATCCTGGTGCTGCAGAGAAGCAAATTCATCTTCCCAAGCAGATTTTCAGACCAGCTGTCCCTGCTGGGCTCATTTACAGAAGCAGCCTCTGTTACATGTTACTGTCAATTTGGAAGGCAGTATCCCCAGTTTAGCTGAAATGCAGGAACTAAATAACAGAGGTTGCCTATAAAAAGCCATCCTTACAGGTATAACCAAGGTGTATACTCTGTGAGCTGAAATCACAGAAGGGGAAGACAAGTAACACTGTCAAACCACCAGAGAATGTATTTTCATCAGCCCCCATGAAAACAGGTATGAGGCACATAACTCTGGTTACATGGCCTGCAGAGTCACAATTACTACAGCACCAGGACTGATGGAGCCCCTTTGGCCAGGGGCTCTACAGGCAGGGAGCAAGAAGATGGCTCTGTGCTAAAGAGTCTGCAGACACAGAAAGGAGTGGAGAGAAACGGGGGAGGGTTTTGGCACAGAGTCCACATATCTGAAGATATGCAAGTGCCTCACTCCTGATGACTGCTGTGGGAATTAGGGACCTAGACACCATTGCCTGTCTGGCTTAAATGACCTATTGAGGACTATCCAAGAAACATGGAGTAGAATTTGGGTACGAAACTCCATTTATCAAGGCCCACTTCAGTTCCTTTGTCTTAGAATACCTTCCTTCCTCCTCTCTGCACAGGGAGGCCAGCATCACTCAGACACCATGGCTTACTATCCGGAGTTTGTGAAATTGTGTCCTCATGCATCATCATACTACAACTCAGACAGAGAGTGACCATGGGAGGAACCCACTTCAATGGGGCAGAAGTTGTCCTCAGGTTCTGAAACCCACAGAACCAGAAGCATAAAGAAGGAAACACTGGGCTTGGAAGATTTACAAACAAAACTTTAGTTCCAGATACAATCTACTTCAGTTCAGTGTCTTATCGATCAATACCGAAATGGTTTAATTATTAAGAACAAAAAAGATAAGACAATCTAAAATTGCAATAACTTACTATAAAATATATTAGAAACAAAAGTACTGCTGTAACAGACCTGAAAATCATGTTATCTTGTAAGAGCCCATCAGAGGCTACCTGATGGTGTATCCAACAGAGCAGCACCTCTGTACTTGTGTTTTCCAGCCTGTGAGTGGCTGTCTGGCAGTACAGGCCCCAGATGGTGCAACATCTGAATGCCCATATGAGCCAAATCCAGAGGCTCCATCTGTCTCCACCTAGCACAGCTGCTTGCCTCCAAGAGAGGTCAAAAGTGGACACTAGGAAACAGAACAGTAAGGGAGGAAGCACACCCTGATTCTTCCCCTCTATCACTCTCCAGACTGGACAGACCCTAGAACTGAACCTGGAACTGGAATTCTAGTCCTACAACTTCTCACATAAAGGCAGCTTGCTACTCAACTCCAAAACAATGATCTAATCTGAGAGTAAGCACAGTGTATCTCGTAGCTTGCAGCATGATGAGCAACTCTGAAGATAAGCCAAAACAACTGGGCAAATGAAGTGCTTTCATATGCTAGCTAACTCCTAAGTATTAATCAGAGTAGTAGGAAAACCCTAATTTTGGAAGAAACCTACCATCTTCATAGTGCTTCTTCCTAGTCATGTTTTTGTCAAGAGATCCATCCAAGAAACCTTTTCCAATCTCTGACCAGATCTGGAAGGACAGAAAGAACAGCACCATCACTTACCATAGACTGAGCCTGCTGGGACCATTCTATTCTTCCCTACTCAGGAATATGAAAACACCAAATAAAATCAGGACTTCCTGTCAATATGGAACTGGTCTCTTCACAACATCACATCCTATTTCAGACTATGCTAACTGGAATTAAACTGAAATTAAAAAAACTGTAATTAAAACCGTAGGAAAAAAACTATGGGAATCTTAAATGGGAGATTGAACTGTTTATTTCTCACCCTATCTCCAGCATGTTTAACATCCCCACATGTAGGGGGGATGTACAGGTGAGATCTCCACAGATTTTCCTTTCTCCACAATGTCACAGAGCCTTCAGAAGATCTTCGAAAGGGAGAAATTCCACTGGCAGTCCCAACAGAGTTTAACTGACTTAGGTGCCAAAGACCTCCTAACTGCCATTGGATTTGGGCTCCTGATCCCCGTGGATCCTTTAGAAACACCTCAGACTAATGACAGCAGGATCAGCAGTAGGATCTAACAGTTTCAGCTTGGGACAAGTGAGACAGACCCCTCAAGCTCATACTTTAAAGTCTCAGCAGTAGCTTGTACTAAACTGTACACAGATTCAAGCTCTGTGTTTTCAGTTTGGAAAAATTTAATAGGAGATTTCCTGGCTCTTCAGGACACTTACTGCATCATGGTGCCTGCGGAATCGGATGACTTCCCGGTCATCTTCAAAGCTGCTGCCCATGGCTGTCTGCGTGACAGACTTCATGGCAAAGCCCAGCATGTGCTGGCAGAGTGGCACATGTTGTGCCTCGGGGAGAGACAACCATTTGGCCAGCAGCTCTTCTGACAGCTTGAGAGGGAATGAACCATTAGTTAGCAGTAACACCAGAAGTCTATTTACCAAACACACCCTGGACACATTCCCACCCACTTCTTAAGGCAGACCACACTTTCATGGCTATGGAATAATGCTAAACTCTTTCCAGGTTTCTTTCAATTATTAAACAGTAACATTTTAGCCTCCAATCTTCTGCTTCTTTCAATGTTCTCCCCTGACATGGCAACCCTACCCTCTTCTCTTGTTCCCTCTATCATAAAAGAAACCTTAAACCCTTTAATGCAGAAGAGGAAAACATCATATTGCGGCTGCTGGACTAAATCAGCATCACCTCTTTGTGACTCCAAAAGCTGGTTCCTTGCTCCATCCTCTTGTCCTGGGAAATATATCTAGAATCCAGGTGCTCCAGTATCTTTAATTGCATCTGGTATCTTGGCATAAAAATTAAGCAAGCTCAGTCCTCCCCCCAGCCCACTGGAGCTAAGAGAACACAAACATTCACACCATGAAAGGCATAGGTTGTTTGCTATCTCAGAATGCTTATAGCCCCAGCACGAATTTGAATGCAGGTTCTTTATCCTAGTGATCATTCTCACTAAACCTTCCTCTGTGAGCCACACAGGGCTTCTCTGCTGTACAAAGGCAGTTACCTTCTGGATGAGAGCAACATTACTTTGCCAGGACTTGGTCACACCATTCTCATACAGTTTTCTCCTCATGTGGCTCTCTCCTGTATCCCCATTCAGGCTGGACTGGTACCTCAAGAGGGATTTCAGCATTGTCTCAAAGGGATCCACTGAAAGCAAACAGAGGAAACACCGTTCAAAAGTCACACTACACAGGGCTGATTAAAACAGCAGCCTCTTTAATCAGATACTGCTACTTCTGGGCAGCGAGCAAGGTTCTGTGGCTCCTTCCCCTACAACAGTGTCTTTGGGGTGTCAAGTTTCTCTTGCTCAGTGTGGGCTGCTACCTCACAAGTCTTTAGGGCTGACTGCTGCCCTGTGATCAGCTCCCCATGCAGAGTTTGCCTGCTGGCTCTACCAAGTAACTCTTTAGTAAAAATACCTTCAGAGCTTGTTCCCTCTTTGCCAGTTCCCAGCTAGTTGTGCCATCGACTTGGTGACAAGAGTGAATGTGGCATGGTCTTTCCCCTTCTCCAGCCTGACCTGCAGTGTCTTTAGCACATCCCCCTTCACACCTGGTGTGCCCTCCTGCCCTGAACGTGGCTATGCACTCAGGACATACCAGCTCATGACAGACTTAGCCAGAGGTTGCTCTGGGCACTCCTTCCTTTGCGTCACAGACCCAGCAAACCTGGTTTGATACCCTGCTGCTCCTGCATGATTTCTCTTTTGGGCACTGAATTCCCTGTTGAGGAGCTCTTCCCAAACTAGCACCTACCTGTCTGCCAGGGCTGCCTCCAGAAGCTCTGAAGCTCCTACAGAAAACCATAACCTGCTAAGCTACAGAATGCTTCTACTGCTAATCATCTTAACTCTGAATTTCACCACCAAGTACCTCTAGTTAATAAATTTGTTGAAGGATATTAAGTGCCAATGCAAAACTGCGCAATACAGCATGGCATATGTTTTTCCCTTTCTGTAAACCTTTTAGTGTGTCTTGTGGATCTGACAGAGTCTTTAAGGAGCTATTTGGAAGCAGCAATCAGGGTTTTCAAGAAGGATATTGTCGCTGTTTATCATAGTCTGTTATTTCTCCCAGATGGAGAGTGAAACCTCTGAGGCATCAGAAAACATCAAGGCTGGGCTAGACACATATGACTTTACCAGCTGTGGATGTATCTAGGATTCCCCACAGAGACTGAGGCCTTATTATGCTACCAGGCAAACCTACAAGAAGAGAAAATTCCCACCTGCAGAGGACTTACAACCTAAAGACATAAAAGCAGCTAACGAGGCCAGAGGCATGAATATGGTAATCTTTCCCAAATGTTTTTCTCTCACATCTTTTCCCTTCCAATGTTTTTAAGCTCTGCATCTCACCCTCTTTCCCACTTTGAATGACAAGGAGCATGAGCATGTGTCTTTTGGCAGAGCAGATGGTACCTGTGGCTCTCCACGTGGCACTGGCTGTTATGTGCCTCGAGCTGCTGCTGACAATTCCTCCTCCAAGGTACTTTGTCGTGGAGCTGCTATTCATGCCACAGATCCCTGCTGACTGGCACTGGCACAGCTAGGCACAATACTGGGCAGCCAGGAAGACACATGGCAGGTGGCAAAGCCCACACAGAAAATCGAGCAAGCAGAAGCATCTAGAGAGGCTGGAGGATGCTTTGCCTGCTGAAACTGCAAAGTTTTCCTGCTGCATATGAAAGTAAACTGCTGCATTAGCCATGGGCTCTGGGTTTTTTTCTCCCAGTGTCCCTAGACTAAACTGGCAATCCCACATCACCAATACAGACTCACTGCTGTTCACTCAGGGCTGCAGAGCCCAGGCCCTTTTGCTGAGGGCTGGCTCTACCTCCTGCTGTTTGGGAAAAGGCTATTTCTGCACAGCTGTGGGAGGCTAGTGACTCCACAAGGCACAACCTGCTTCTGGAGAGAGCTCTCTTCTGCCAGCACTTGCACAGACTTCATCCTTCAGCCTTCGGTCTTGAAAACATCTCCAGGGTTACATTTTCACCCCTCCTAGTGACACATACCAAAATTTCAACTGTTCTTTTCACTTACATGGAAATCTCCCCATCCCAAAAACCTCACAGTGCTGTCCTGGACACCACTGCAAATAAATATAGTGAAAAGTTCTAACTGAGATCGAGCACAACTGACCATCAGAGACAGAAAGGACCTCTGAACCTGCACAGTAAAATGCTCACACAACAGCAATGAAGTCTGCTCAGACAAGCCAGGACCCACAGCTCCATCTCCAGCATTCAGTGTGCTTCAGGTTCATTGCCCCAACTCAAAAAGCAGCATCAACTCAGGAGAATTTTCCATGCTGGTCTCTGAACCCCCTGCTCCTGGCAATTCTGAATTTGTCCACCCTCTTCACATTCACATTGTTTGTAGGCCTGAACTGCTTCCCCAGAGCCACTCAGGGGAATCACCAGTACCAGCTGCAAAGTTTTACTTCCTTTGAATTCCCCTTGCAAATGAATCTCAACCAAGCTTTAAGAGGTCATCAAAACATACCAATTTCAAACACTGCTTGAAGCCTAAGGAAAAAGAGTCTCCTGGCATTGGAAATGTTTATAATTACGAATCCAATTAGTCCAGCTTCAAGGCTTTGATGAGAAATGTATTATCTGTACCTCTCTCTCCCCAGGAAGTTTGGCCATACCTGTGACACACATATGAGATGAAAGGAACCTTTGATGCTTGGAGCCAAATCCTCTATCTCAGCCTTGGAACCCAAATATCAGGTATCCATGAAGATGGATGGTGGCCTCAGGCACTCCAGCTGACTGAGGAACAGTCACATAGCATGGGTTTTCAAGTGGGGATGAAGAGTCAGGAGTTGGATATAATGCAGTCCACTGTGGGCTGTCTCCTATCCCACAGCACTGTGTGCACAGAAGAGATATGGGCAAGACCACATCTCCAATAAAAGTTCAAGCCGCCCAGAGCCACTTTGTGGCTGAGGCCTACTACAACCCCTGTTCCCACTCACCAAGAAAGGGTACAGGAATGGCTACAGCTACTCAATTACAGCTATTCAGCTCAGTCTACACCTCAGTGTTTCAGGAAATATAGCCTGTAAGACTCCTCACCTCTAATAAAGTTTGAGCACTTCTGGCAAGCATCAGTTCTAAAAGGAAAGCAGTGATACAACTAATATTGCTGCTCTTCTAGCTCTGAGATCATTAGAACCCTCCTCACTTCAAGCTTGTTGCCTTTATGAGTATCCCTTCAGAAGCTCTTTCTTCGTCTGGGCTGAACACACTTTCCCTGGCTTCGCCTGCACGACAGGCTTCCCACTCCTCTGAGAGCACTGGCAGCCTTTATTTGCACTTGCTTTATTCAAAATCATGCCTGAGTATAGAGGTCAGAGCCACACACAGGACTCCAGGTCTGACTCATGCTCATTTTGTGCAAAAGTCCTCTCTTTACAGAAAATCCATGACTCAATATATCCTTTTTTTTCTGAGGGCCATGTCATCCCACAGGCAATTCATGCAGCCCACTTTTTCTCCTCCTGTTCCTGTTCCTGCTATCCCAGCCCTGATGGGTGGGATATCAGCTATCCCTGAGGGATATTCATCTCACTCTGCTGCCCTGTACTGAGAAAGGCTTCCAGAATAATGCCATCAGGGTAGGACAGTAACATAAGATGGAGTATTTCATGTCCCCAACACTGCATTGCACTTTTCCAAGACAATATAGCATTGATCCCCCTTTCAAGTACCAGTCCAGTATTTACTAGTACCCAAGCAAATTCTGAACTGAATCCCTGACACTTGACTTTTCTAAAAATTTAATTACCAAAGCACAATGTGCATTTCCCATTTATCCCCCATCCTTAAAAAAATATGTTTAGCCCTTGGCATAGCAGGATACTAGGCTAGTCTGTAGCTGCCTGGGTCACCTAATTTCCTGCACTTAAGTCCAGGCATCGTATTTCTCTCTCTCCAATACTCAGATCCTCCCAAATTCAGAACATTTATGAGAACTTGCCTGTGTAGGGGCCTGTCACCATTTCTCTGAGCTTTGGGAAAGTGACTGTCTGCCTAATTTTCCCCCAACATACTTGAGAGCATTCAGATCTTTCAGGGTGGTTTTCCACCTTCTGGAGTGTCATCGTTATCCGCTGTGTCTTGCTGATACTTGTTAAATCCCACTCCTTTCCCAGATTGTCACCATTTCTTTTTTTCATTCCGTCAGGCAACTGTACATGAAGCTTACCCCTCACGACCCCAGCATGAAGTGAGCTGAGCTATCTGCCTGTGCCTAAAGACAGCCTACAGGATCAGGTCAGAGGTGTGCACCTCTGCACACCTCGTAAGATAAAAACTGGCAAAGCAAGAGAGTAAACCCAAACACCAACTTATCAAGTGTGATAACCTTTAGGAAGCAAAATGCCCCCCTAAGAGGCTTAAGCCATAAATTCTCTCCTATGACTAAGACGGTCAACTCAGCTACCAGCACCACCATCCACTTCCAAGAGTGGAAGATCATTCAAGGTTTTCACCACAAAACTCTATGCACCCAAAGAAACATGAAAGGTAAGGAACTTTTTCCAAATAATAGTTTGAAAAACCTTCATGCTGAACCATACAAGGCAGTTATCACAAACAAGCAGAGCTGCTTTCAGACTTGATTTAGCAAAGTTTACCCTCCTAAACTGTATTTCAAACTGCTTTTAAAATGTATGCCAAGTGGCTACAAGACGTTCACCTTGCTCTATCAAGTGACTAATGAGCATGATGCTTTTCCTGAAAAGCCTGTAGAGAGATGGTAAAAGACACAAGCATACTGATTTCTTGATGGCCACTGGACAGCAGTAACTCTTGGTCACTGATACTCAAGTCCAGTAAGCAGTCATATTTGAACCACCATGTCAGCTACAAAGTCTCAATTTTTTTCAATGTAGAATGAAACCCCAACTTCCTTTGACACTCTTCCTTTGATGCCCGGTGAGGCCAGAACAAATGGACTCAAAAGACAAATAAAAAACACTTACACAACCGGTTGGGGTTAACATGTTGTTTCAGGAGATCGATGGAGCCGAGGCTGACAACAAGACGCCTTCCAAACCAGAAGGAGACCACTGGCCCATATTTCTCATGAAGGTTCACAAGAAACTCATGTAAACTGCTGCTGACAATGATATCTGGCAGATTGCCATCCCTGAGAAACACAGAGGGTATCTGGTCATGAACAGCATCCTCTGCCAATGCTGAACTTCATAAATGTGGGACAAAATCCACTTACTTTTCATCAGTTGGAGCCAGCCCAGGGATACCTGATGCTTGCCTAGATGCCTAGAGTAAAAAGAAATGCATCAATCTACAGGAACTTCAGATTTTATACAGGTCCCACAGCTTTCTGGCAGATGAAATTTCCACACCAATACCACTACACTACTTCCAAACAGGGAACAGGAGCTGGGTATGCTACATCTGCAAGCTTTAAACCTGCTAAGCCGATAAACCTCAACTGTGTGCCTGGTGCCACTGGCTAAACCAGGATTATTCATCTGGTTTGATGAAAGATGTCTACGTAAAGATTTACAGGGTCAAGTTTGCAATGTAGGGTATCACACACTGATTTGCCCTGGAGGCCTGCACGAAGGCAAGGCGAGCAGATGATCGCGCCTCTGGGAAGCGGGATTCCCCCTGGAGCACGTAAGGCAGGAAGAGTGCCGGGGCTGCGCGGTGCCGGGAACGCCCTGCCCCGCAGCTTCTCCCGCTGGCCTCTGCCACGTCCCGAACGGGCCCGGGCCACGGGCCGGGGGCACCGCCCGGGCCCAGGGGCACCGCCGGGCCAGGGGCACCGCCCGGCCCAGGGCCGTGAGGCGGGCCCGGGGCTGCGTCGGCCCCGCGGCCGCTCGCTCTCCGCCCGCCTGCACCGGGGGCCGGGCCGGGCCCCCCGTCCCACCGGCGGCAGCATTACCGGGTACAGGTAGAGCACGGCGCCCACGAGGATGAGCAGGAAAGTGACGGCGAAGATGGCGAAGTCCAGCATGGCCAGGCCGGGGCGGCGGAGCGGCGGCGGCTCGGCCCCACCCCGAGGCCGCCGGCGGGGCAGGAAGGGGCGGACCGGGCCGGGCTGGGAGCGGGGCTCGGCTCGGCTCGGCTAGGCTCGGCATGGGGGGCCCGCGGCGCCTGCTGCTGATCTCCAACTCCACCCTGCACGGAGGGGGGTACCTGGGCCACTGCCAGCAGCACATCCAGAGCTTCCTCGGGCAGTAAGCGCCGCCAGCGCCGCGGGAGCGCGCCCGGCCCCCGCCGCCGCCGCGCCGACCGCGCTCTCCCCTCTCTCCTCTCCCAGGAAGGTGAAGCGGGTGCTGTTCATCCCCTACGCCCTGCACGACCGCGACGCCTACGCCCGCACGGCCAGGGAGAAGTTTGAAAGCCTGGGTAAGGCCGGCCCGGCTGCGGCTGTGCCCGGGGCTGCGGGGCCGGCACCGGGCACGGGGAGCAGGCTGCGGGCAGCAGGCTGCGGGCACGGAGCGCCCCGGGACGGGCGCGCTGCGGCCCGCGGGCAGCGGGCTGGGATGGACTGGGCTGGGCTGCTGCCGAACGGGCAGCAAGGGCAGTGAGCAGCAGCAGCCGGCTGCGGACTTCTGCATGGAAGGAGATGTTCTAGAGGCCTCCAGAAGAAATCCTGCAGCAAACACTTCTCACTCCAGGGAGGAAGATTTTATCCCTAACTATTAAGTGGCATCTTTTTATCCTTCTTAATCGAGGGAACATTTCTTCCCATATATCTTAAACCTCTGCTCAAGCCACTGGTTTTAAGTGAAGACTATTACTTAAAGCATCTCAAGGAGCCAGATAGTTCCATGATGGACAGCAGGTGAACTTTGCTTGGAGCAAAGATCTCTGCAGAGCAGTCTACAGCAAGAACTCAACCTAGTATCTCTCACTATTGAGGGTAACTTTGGACCCGTTAGTGTAGTAATAATCAGTACTCACTTCCCCGGGCAGCACATTTTGCTCCATGACTTGCAGGAAGATTGCTGCTATCAAATGCCTTTGTTCTTTTGTCTCTCTCGATACTTCAGTGAACCCCAGCAAGACAAATCTATCAAAGTCAGACATTTTAACAGAAACAATACTCAGATCAGGTATTTGCACAAGCAATGCTAGAACCAGCACATCCTGTCAGACTTCAGCACAGCCAAGCTGAGAACTAACAGCTTTTCCCTCATTTTCTAGTTACCTGGTAATGCTCAGCAGGATATTGTGCCTCAGCCTGCACCTGAGTGAAATGTTCTGCTCCTAGACAGTGAATGTATATTTCCACAAAACAAACATTTCCTTTTGTACAGCTGGATGTTGAAGCCCTGCACTAATGTAGGATGTACACTCTGTTTTACATTGTAGAGTTCTCTGAAATTTCCCTGGTTGAGACATTTGGCTCAGGGTTGGAGGAGGTGGGCAGGGAGGGATTGAACATATCCCATTCTTCCACCAAACCGACATGGCAAAGGTAAATACTTTTTCATTTAAGGTTATAGGCTGGACAGCATTCATGAATCTTGTGATCCAGTGGAAGCTGTAAGGAAATCTGAAGCAATATTTATTGGTAAGTTTTACTTCTTATTCCCCAGTGAAGGTTTATATAGGGCACTGGATTAGTCCTGCACAGAGGTGGCACTGAAGACCAACAATTAAGCAGTTAGGCCTAGTAATTAGAAACTACACAAGACAGTAACTGGGAGCCCTAAGACCCTAAATTTAGTGGTGGGCTGGGAAGTAGATTTATTAATGGAACTTCATCTCCAGTAAATTCCAAATTATTATTTTGAACAGTACCTCAGTGTAAAAACATGATCATAACATCTGTATCATCACTTTAGCAAGCCGTAGAAGTTCTAGTCCTAATACCGTGGTCCTGGGTATTGGAAGAGACGTCACTGTCAGACAGCAGCAGCCTTACAAGGATGACTCAGGGCATGCCCATGGCCTGTCCAGTCACCATTCTTCTGAAGCTTCTGGTTTTACTGCTTCTCAAAGCAGGATACTGCCCTGAATAGAGCATAGAACTCATAGCACCTGCCAGGTTTGTAAAGGTTTAAATTAAAACTGATGGTGAAAGCATGTGAAATGAGCTGAACTTTCTTTCTGCAGGAGGTGGGAACACATTCCGTCTCCTGAAAGCTCTTTATGACAACAGTCTGATACATGAGATCAGGAAGAGAGTGCTTGAGGTAAAATTACAGATTCTGGCCAAGTGTGGAATGGCTGGATGTCACACATGAGCTTTTGTTCAGACAAATCCAAGCTGATTCTGCATTTTTGTCTCTAATATACTTCAGATGTCGAGCCATCTCAAACAGCCTGGTGAACTGAAAACCATGGCCAAATAAGGCTGTCACTGAGTCATTGAAAAGACTTAAGGTCAGCAGTCTGTCTTCCTAGAGCAGTTTTCTAGATGCTGGGTTGCAAGACCTTGGGATGTACAATGCCACATAGAATCCTAGAAGTAAATCCCTCAAAATACTAGTCAGAAGACCAGTGCAGGATTTAATCTATGTCCAGAAACCCTGTTTTTCAGCTTGAGAGGTCCACTTCATATCTTGCTGATATAAATGTGTTCATGTTGCAGGTTATCTGCTAATAAAGTGGTGATAAACTTGGATCCATACATGCCTTTCAGACAGTGTCCTGTTGATGTTAGAAATTATATAATTGTTTTTTATCTCATTGGAACTGAGAGGTGCGAGTGCCATTGAGCCCCTCTGGTCAGCAGCACCAATCTAGTCAGTGAATCTCATAAGGCACAGCAAAGATACACCATCTCTGGAGGAGAAGAGAAGCAATGTGTTCCTTAGCAATGCAGAATTGCAAATGACTTTATGCAGATTTATACATAAGCCACAGTATGGCCAGCTGCCAAGAATAAAGGTTAGCTAGGCTTATCTTAATATATAGAAATTCAACATCTATTGTGGGAATGAAAGCCAGAAAATGTCCAAATTCCAGTTGTCTGGATAACTACTTGGTTAAATTACCACCAGTTGTCTCAAGCCAGCTCTATTTTTACAAATTGTTCAGCATGACCTGTATACTTGCATATTTGTGTGGCATTCTTCTATGTACAGCACAGTACACGGTACTAATAGCTGAACAGTGCTGAACTGGTCTTGTATTGGTAAGCTGATGCTGTGATTACATTGCACTGGGCTTTCAATGGCCTACTCCCCCCAGAAGCCACTTAAAAGCCAGTTCAGTTATTTCCTGTACCTGCAATAGAGGCAAAGTCTCTCCTCTTAATAGCAAAGTCCAACATGCACTGACAGCCTCGTAGGTTCTCTCTTGGGGGATCACAGAGTTGTGAGTACAAGGCAGGCAGCAGTTCTCTGACACAGAGAAGTTTCTGCCCAGCTTAGAACCTTCTTGTTCTGCTTTTCACCTGTAAAGTTAGAGGTGAGTTTCCAGTGAGAGGAGCTGGAAGGACTAAGTCTGATCTGACTGTTGGGTTTCTGGGATTTATAGAAGATGCTATAAAACTGAGTTCCTAGTTGTGATACTGCAGACTGATTGTTGCTTTTGTCTTTCAGGATGGGATTCCTTACACGGGATCCAGCGCAGGAACCAATGTTGCTACTGTCAGCATCAATACCACCAATGACATGCCAATTGTTTATCCACCCTCCCTGCAGGCTCTAGGATTAGTTCCTTTTAATATTAACCCCCACTACCTGGACCCAGACATTAAAACAACTCACATGGGTGTAAGTAAAGCACACCAGAACTAACACAGTAACCAGTGTGTGGAGGAGTAAAAATAGTGTGCATTTTTGAGGCCTTACAAAGCTATAGAATGTCAAACAGCTGCTCCCTAGAGAAACTGGAAATGCCAATGAGGTAGTAACACTTCACTTCCTCCAAAAACTGAACTTGGGAAGAGGGGTTGGCAACACTATTACTGAACAAAATCGTTTTCAAAAACAGAAGCTCTGCAATGTCTGAAATACTGCTTGATATCTGGCATGAAATGAGGGAATTAAAAAAGATAAACCTGAAGTGTTAAAATGCAAAGTACTGTGGTTCTGGAAAATTCTATCTTACCTGCTACTTGGGAAGACCTAACTTAAACATAGATTAAGAGGCTTAAATACCTAAAGGTCTGAAGAAATGATCAGAACAGGGAGACCTTGAGATTGATACAGTTATTGTGTAAGAAAATACCTGGGCACTGGTGTCCTTGCAGGGACAGCCTGTAATGTCCAGTACAGAGCAAGCATATGCACTAGTATAGCTGAAAGAAAAACACTTCAGCCATCAAGCACAGAGACACATTTCCTTCTTGAAACAGCATGTCAGCTAATTCCTCAGGGAACAATCTGTGGTGCATCTTTTAGCAATCTAAATACTTTCCTCCTTGTAATCAATATTGCATGGTTAGAGGAAGTATTAAGAGTTAGGGAACAATGAAGAGATGGTGGATGCTTCTAGATGGGTGAAGAGATGGGTGTGCTTTTAGAATTTAAATGAAGTTGTAGGTATTCATTTAATCAGCTTGTCACTAGATAAACAGGCTGTCTTCTCCCTATAAATAACTTCCCTTTCTCTCCAAGGAGGCTGGAAGCCCTGTGCTGTAACAAGTCCCTGCTGTGTTCCTATGTTTTTATTTCTTTACTGTTGCTCAGTTCAGCAGCAAACCTCAGGAAACATGACAGAGCTGCTGACAGAAGGAAATTCTTCAATGTAATACCTACTTGAAGATAAACAAGCAAATACTTAAATCACTAAAAATCCATGATTCACTACTCTCTTTCACAAAGGTGGCACCTCAGGCATTTGCTTCTACCACCTTCCTGGTAGTATTAGTACTATCTCTGCACACAGAGATAGTACTAATTGTAAAAAATTGATTAATTGAGTGGAAGTAAGTTTTAAGGCTTTTCAGGGTTGGGATTGTGTGAGTTCTGTTTGATCAACCTGCAGCAAATTGCTGCTAGCGATGAAGGGTAAAACACATATCTATTAAATAGAGTCAATTCTGCCATCCCAGTCTGCTTGAGGGGAAGTATCTGCTTTGTTAGGAAATTGTTTGGTGTCATGTTGCCTGGATAGCTCCAAGTCCTACCTTATGGCCTGGGAAGCTAAATCTGTGCTCATTATTGCAGGAGACAAGAGAAGAAAGAATCCGCCAGTATCATGAAGAACCAAACACCCCTCCAGTTCTGGTGAGTAGTAGCTCTCCATCAGGAAGCTGTAGCATGAGAAACATTTTAAATGCATTCATGCTAGCTCTCAGTGTGGGTTCCTCACCTGTCAAGACTTATAAAACCATGGACTGGAATGCTAATTGTATTCTTGCTAAGAGCTTGAGCCTTGGATATTGCTCATTGTAGAAAATGGATTAGGGCCAATTAAATGCATGCTCCTGTTAGTGTTGCTCAACACTACTTTAGGCAGCTCTGATCTTCCCAGTCACTGGCCACCATATACTGGGTCTTGGGGGTAGTGTGCATGCTGATGGTACAAAACTCCCCTTAATCTTTGTGCAGATACTCTTAACCTGTGTAATAGAGTTTCTGAATTTGCACATTCAGTAGTGTATACATAATTTCATTATGTCTGTCTGGGGAAATGGGACCTCTGTTTCCTGTCCCTGTGTTTGATCTTGTGGTATAAAGTTTGTGCACTAACAAACCCAGCTGGCTGTTGCGCAGCCCAAACTGGATCTAAGAATAACTGTGCGAAAAACCAGTTCCTCTCTTCCTTAGTGATTTTTCCTTTAAGAGTGAAAACTGAAATAAACAAGAAAATCAACTTCTAAAACAATATAACTCACCTATTTTTGTCTTTACCTCTTTGTTAGGAAAGCATGGTGCCACTGAGACTGGCCTGCTTGTGACAGCATTCTACCCTTTCACATAGCTTGAAAATAATTTTAAATGTTTCCACCTCCACCAGGGCTTGCGGGAAGGTACGATGCTGTTAGTGGAAGGAGATAAAGCCACGCTGCAAGGAGTGACAGGAGCACGTCTGTTTTTGAGGTAAATGCATCACTTGAATTGATATCCTCCTTCAGAGAGAAAGGAAGAGAGGCTTCTATCAGACTGCTGGCACATGCTGCCTGTCTCCCCCATCAGAAGTTATTTAATCCCTTGGTTCCATTTCTCTTTGGGGAAAATGTGAGTACTGTTTAATGCTCCAAAGGAGCCAGCAGTATGACAGCACTCCAGAGGATTTTTGATTAACCCAGTGCATGCTTTGGCACTGCATCCATTGCTGCTTATGTTTTGGAATTCTAGTTACCTTTCACAGAAAGAGCCCCAATAGTCAGCTCCTTTATTGAAAGCCAGGGAAATAATAGACTTGGAAATCATAGCCAGTTTGGCCCTAATGCACTGAACTCCAGAACAGGGGAATCCATACCTAGAATTACATGGACTTTATTAAGAAATCTAAAATACATGTCACATGATGGAGTCAAAACTCAGCTTGTTCAGAATAAAGGTGCCTTGATCTATCCTTAGTAACAGGTAGAAGCAGAGTAGTCCCACCTCCCATTAAAGCTCACAGCATGGTTTCTCTTGTTTGCAGGGGTAAGAAACCAACTGAACATGAGCCTGGAACAGATTTCAGTTTCCTCCTGACTGACAGCAATCCCCTGAATCCATAGCCTTCCATATTCTGCAGCAAAAGTTATAAATGGGGAAGACAAGGAGGAAAAAGGAAAGAGACGGCTGTCATCTCAGGGTGGGTGGGGAACTTCAGCTTCATAAATAAAGATAAATATGCATTAGTGGGCTCTCGTCCTCACCCCGATGCATGTCTCGAACACCTCCTTCCCAGAAAAAAGACACTTTTTATTGCAGCACTTGGATAATCATAACTGTTCAAAGCTTGAAGAGGCCTGTACATTCACATGTCCACTGATTCCTTCCCCACAAAAAAGAAAGATACCTTAACACAATTAAGATGGGACACTGAATCAGCTGTTCCCACTGCCTACTTTTACCTGCTACATAAAATAATTGTTCATTCAGTGTACTCCCACACTTAGTTTAATTTTTGTGCTATTAATAAAGGGAGAAGTTATGCATTCAATTACTTTTATTTGCTTCAGACTCATGTTAAATATATACAATGCTAATTATGTACAAAAGTGTGCATGTTAAAAATTTTCAGGTTACAAACTTGCAAATCCTAGAAAAGTGCAAAATTTTAAAACATCTTCCACCATGCTGTACAGGAAAAAACCCATCATTAGCCAATATACACACTCTTAAAACATATTGATCAAAAAACAAAGTAAGACATACAGTTTACTCTTAAAGCACCCAGAGGGAAAAAGATATTGCACAGAAGACAGACAGCAAGTTCATTACAGTGCCTGAAGGCTCATTTCTGAAAGTAGCTATTTCCAACACTCCTCAGACCTAACATTTAACTCATTAAAAAGGCATTTTTTGGCATTTAAAGATCCATTTGTAATAATGTAATTGCACAATCTGTAAGAATTATCAGAAGATACGGTTAACTTTGCTGTAAGGCCTTTGCTTCCACCCCCTGATTAGCTTCAGTAAAAATTCATCAGGCAAACTGAGTAGCATCACAGGTTCCATCAGAACACTGACCAAAGGGAGGCCAAGTCTCACATGCAGCATATCTCTATTCTCATACTAAGCTGTCCTGCAGAATCAGAATATGTACTGCAAGCTTTTCTTGGATTCTTTTTTCCCCTATGGCTTTTTTTAAGAAACAGCTCACTGCTGCATATGACTAAAGTAGTACTGTCAGGTGCAAGACTTACGTTTATTTTAAAGCTATTTCAAGGCAAAAAATATGGCTCCCTTGAGAGGAAAATACTGACTAGGTAGGAAGCTAAATAAACAAGTGGCCTCCAAGTTCAGTTAGATCTATGATATATATGGCTGGATTTTTTATATTCCAATCTCAGAACACCTTAGCAGCTTTAAACCATAATCTGTACTGACAATCATGCTTCTGGGACAGAAGATGTGTGATGAAATTATGTCTGTGCTGAATATAAGCATAGCCCTGAACTCTGGAACTACCTGCCAAATTTCTCAAGTCCACTGGACAAAACTAGGAAGAACACACACTGAATGAACTCTATTGAAAACAAGTGAAACACCTATTTTATTTGGGCCACTTAGGTAAATGATAACTAAAAGAAAGACACACCAGTCTTCTTCACAGATGCACAGCAAAAAGGTGAGTTAAAACTGAACAAAGGCTACCTTGGACTAAGCACTGCAAGCAGTTCCTCATGTATGTTCAAGACAGCAGTAAGGTGAATGGCACTCAACTGAAATGCAGAGCATGCTATGGTGCCACTCAAGCATTTTTACATTCAGGCATCTGATATCCATAACACTGAAGAAGGGAACAATAGCATTTTACCAAATTTAAATGGTAAATTTAAATTTACTTTTAATAGTAGCTTTTTAGAAAACTTGCTTCCTTCAAAAGTATGTGCTTACAAAGGCAATTTAATAATGGTAAGATTGGCTCCTTGGAATGGAAGATATCTTCCAAACACTTCAGTTGACTTTAACATTGGCATACAATGAACCCACATGTATAGGATACCATGGAAACCTACTCTCCCCAAAAGGAGACTACCAAGAAGTGTCATGTTTGCAGCCAAAACCAACACAGCTTTTAAGCCAGAAAGCATAAAAAGACCTAGAAAGCACTGAAGCACATGCTTGAATTTCCCTTCAAATAAATACAACCCTATGTAGTACTTTCACATAACAGTATTTATTAGATCAGGCCCTAGGCTCACATTAAGATATGCATTTATATGTGCACACTTTTTTTAAAATTCATTGAAAGGGAAAAAAATATTCAGAGCACCTCAGCTCAACATTTAACATAGTCAGCAAGGTGCCTTTAGCAGTGGAAGACAGGAATGTTTCAGGTGACAGTACAGAGCATGTGTCTACAGAGACTCAATATAGGAGCAGAAGAAGGTCGGCATCTCTGCACCCGTTCTAGCTCTAAAGCTCTCTACCATTCTATAATCTGTATATAGATACACATTTTCAACTAATTACACATACACAGTAAAATTTGGTTTTCAACTAATTACACATACACAGCATTTGGTTCCTTTACTTATCTCTTCTAATGATTTTGTTAATAAAGATTGGGAAAGGTTTGGAAAGGAAACAGGGAGGAGGAAGACATGGTTTAGGGAAGTGAGGTATACAGCTCCCATTGACTAAGGCAGGAGTTACCAAATCTGTGCATTACAAAAATAAATATATCATTCCTGCAGGACTATTTTAAAGAATTTTTCCAGTGCAGAAATTTAGTTCTTTGCACTTATTTAAAGGACAAAGAAATACAACTTTCAAGGGGATCCTTATAAGACAGCCAATTTACTTGGCTATTTAAAGCCTGTGAAGACTGATAAACCTGTTTTGTGATAATATTCATGATCTAAGGTATGCCAGAGAGGAAAAAGCTTGTTTAAATCAATGTTGCAGATTAGCAAAACAACTGTAATATGGATGTGGGTGAGTTTGGTTTTTTTTTGGAGGGAAAGTTGTGGGGGTTGTGGGTGGTTTGGTTGGTTTAGTTTTTTTCTTTTTTTACTCTTTTTAATATCAAAGAATTATTTTCCTAAGAAAATCTAATTTCCACAATGTATAGTAATCATCAGGACAAATGCAGTTACTTTAGGACTGGGATTATTATGTTGTGCTGCTAAGGTCCGTGGATGATAGAAGATGTGGTTTCTAAATAGCCTGTGAATGAGTAATGGATAAGTATTTTGGTTACAGAAAAATTTGCCTAAGTCAGATTTCACTTTCTTTATGCTTGTATAGTTCAAACCCAGCAAAGACTAGATGGGATTCTTCATTATAGCTAAACAGACAACTAAAAATACTATCAAGAATTATAAGTAAATTGATTTAGAGAAATTTAGCAAACATTTTACTTGAAATAAAGGAGACATGTCTTCTAAATACCCTTTGGTACGCAAGTTCAAAACTGTGCTATGAAAAAGTTAATACTGCTAACTACTTTATCTAATTTATATACAGGTATGAAAAGTAGGTCAGTTTTCAGTTTCTTTTTGATATATATATTTACACTCCTAGTTACTCATCTTCAAAGGTAAGCATATGTTAAACTTTGATAAATATTATTAAAGTTGTGGCAAAAATTAAATATATGAAGATATCTCAAAGAAGATCTTGACAAATGTAGTGCTATGAAATAAATGTCACTTAAGACTTGTTTGTTCTAAATTCCTCACTGGAAGCCTATAATCTCAAAACTTCACTTTTTACACTTAAACAAACCTTTGAACAAAACCAAAGGAGAATCTTATTTCACCAATACTACCTGAAAAATGGGATTTTAAGCTTTCTTGACTTGAGGAAATCAAAGAATTATGAAAGTCAGTTCACCAGTTCACAGTGCACTGCGTAAGAGGCTGCAATTCAACTGACTGAGAAGCTGATCAGAATTATTTTCTGTTTTTAAACATTACTGTCTACTTTTTATGCAAATAAATTAAACCTAAAAGAAACAACATACCACCTTATGCTTACACTTAGGATTCATTTTTTATTTAAAGCTGGTTTTAAACAAAGGCAAAGTGCAGAACTTCACAGCTATGGAGGTCCTTCCAGATGGCCTCTGGCAAGGAAACCAAGGTGTGATGGTGTTCACCTCCCACCCCCAAGGACCAGATCTCAGATCCAAAGGCCATGGATGTTGCCATTCTACCTGGGGCATAAAGCAGCAGCTCAGAGCTCACCTGCCCCCTCCTCATTCTGCTGCTGCTGCTTTGTACTGAGCACAGACCAGCCTTGAGTTTGAGAGCCCAAGAACTTTCCACACTTAAACCTGTCTCAGGTATTTGTGATGATCACCCAGTGCTTATGATGCACTGAAATTATGGTATTCAAATGTCAAAGGTCTTAATCATAAGTTATTTCAATTATTGCAACATTATATTTTACTTAAACTGACACATTGCATTGATTATTCTTTAATATAGAAAAATGTTAATTCAGCTGTTGTATAAACAGAACAGGATGTTTTCAAATGTGTATGCAAACCACTCTGTGCAAGTGACAAGAAGAAAACTGTGCTCCCACCAAACACTACATAAGACCCATCTCCCTTTTTCCACTTCATTCTCATAGCCTAGAACATGACAATTTCCTGCCCCCTTCCCCTCCAAATAAACACTTAGCCTTGTCTAGGCATTTAAACACAATATTAATGAATGCACATAAAACCCGTCAATTCAATGCCCAAGCCGAGTTTTTAAAATCTCCCATAAAACAGAAATATCTCATATTCTGAGCTGAAATACTTCTAAACTAATCTACACAGATCTCCCCTGAAATCCCTTCTTCATTAGATCATAACGGACAAACATACTTCACATTCTCATAAACAAACTTAATACTTCCACAGTATCCTTAGTATTCTTACTGGATAGGTAATTGATTAAAAATAGTATTTTTCACTTCTCTATAGCTTATTTGAAAATATGGGATGTAGGTTAATTTCCTTTTTTTTTTTAACATACATGGAGTATGAAAAGAACCACACTACTTTTGGAAGTTTAATCTTCTCTTGGCAAGTGACTCAAGAAAATAATTCTTATTCTCTCCTAACTTTCCAGACAATCCAGTCTGTCACAGTGATTAGGCAGAATCTTGCAACTATGCATAGACCCACTTGTTCACTAATCTGATTTATTTTGCTTACAAAAGTTAAGAAAATGCAACACAGCTTTCTTTACAAAGTACACCAATCAAGCATCAAGAGGGATTTTTTTTCCAGTAAAGAAAGTGAGAAGGAGAAATCCGTTTGAATGAGACTAACACAACTTGTAAAGATTATCCTTTAGCAGGGTAAGGAGATATTATTATTTTTATAAAGTCAATAAATATTATGCTTAAAGTCAATGAAATGAGATTATACATTATGTTCCTCAGGTAGTTCAACTCCCTAGCCACAGGGAATATCTGATAACATTTATGAGAGATATAACACACATTCTTTTCAATAAATAAATAAAAAATAACAAGAAAAGCAATGGTAGAGGGAAGAAAGGGGGATCCAAAAGGGAACATACTAGCTAACAATCCTTACACCTGCCTTGTGTCTGTGCTCCCCTCACCCCATGGGATTTTCTTCTTTTAATACATACATGAATATACATATATACATACACACACATATATACACATACACACACACCTTTGCACACTGATCTGGAAATTTATATTTTTCCCTCAGTACCCAGCTTTTCTAACAGTATAGGGTTTATAATTTCAATCAGTAACATTAGAAAAATATCAGATTGCTAGGAAAATGCATACCCTTCTATCATCATGTACTGCTAAACACAAAAAAAAAAAAAAAAAAAATCAGTAATGGCTTCTCCAAAACATAGTAAGAAATTTGATACAGCATACATAAGGATCTGGTATTTTCTTTTACCAGGTCTTAAATGCATTTAGGAAATGGATATATCATCTGTTTTCCCCTGTTTATTTTTACAGAAAAAAATATGGCTAACAACTGGTTTGGTGAACACCAAGCCAAGAAACAAACAGGTGCTATTTTTAATTGAATTGTGCTGCAATGTTGCATAATGATTCTGCAGTGGAAATTTATCTTTTGTTTGTAGAAGTTGCCTTACTAATGAAGCAGATTGATACATGACCAATATAGATAACGAGTCTTCCTGGGTATTTCTGCAAGATGTTAAATATATAATGGGATTTCTTGGTGCATGTCGTAAGTTTACTTAACAATATAAATAATTTTCAGCAGCAATATTTCCTACCTCCTTTAGCTCCTTCACCACCTCCAACTCCTTTGAAGTTATTCATGTCTGTACTTAAAACAATTTCTGATAAAGTAGTGCAAAACACAGATGTTCCATGCAGAACAGCCTAAAATTGGAACTACACAAAAGAAGAGAGCAATAGCTATTTACACAAACAAGCTGTAATAAAGTTCAATAGGCTAAAAAACGTATCGTGAAGGTCGTAACCATCATCTATTCATTCTGAACCCAACCATTGCAAATACCAGAGTTTTAATTTACTGGAAAATACTCGTGCTGTCAAGGCAAAGCCAAATATCTTGTTTGTTATCATGGAGCATCTGGCCCTACTCAGCTTTAAATCAAATGCTACTTATCTTAAATTCAATTAGTAATCTGGGGGTTTGAAGACTTGTGAGGGGATTGTTTGGGGTTTTTATAGCCCTCCCAAAACACAGTTTTAGCAGCTGTTGAGAGAGGGATTTTGCTGTGAACAAGTCAACACAGTTAAGGACAAATATGCAAGCAGGCTAACTTGCATGAGTATATATGCTTACTACTATACCTCTGCCATAGGTTCTTCATCAACAAGAATCAAAGGGCTTCAGAATCAAAGCCCTAATTCCATATTTATACATCTAAAGTGACCAAAAGATTAAACATTTTTCTGGAATCCATGAAAGAATGTAGAAGCAGCAATCACTTGGAATCTTGAGTGTTATATTCAGTCTCTCCTGATGAAATCTGGCTGAGCCGTTTGCTTGATCCCCACAGCTTTCGGGAAAGCTGACCTGAGCGCATCTGTTTAAAAGTAATTCAGAGAAACAAAAGGAGGGGGAAGGGATAAGGTGGATAAATTAAAAAAGAATTCAGACACTGAATCTGGTGAAATGCAGACACTACAATGTACTGCATAAACAAAATATACCAACAAAAATTATTTGAAAATAAACTAAAAGTTACACTTAGGGATTATTCTTGAGACTGACAAAAAACAAGACACAAAACACTAACCACAGTCTTCTCTGAATTTGAGCAGCTAAAGGGATATTACCCACTAATGTGTTCCCATATGCTTAACCAAATGGCCTAGAAAGAGTGTTTAGATTGCTATTTTGATAGGAAGAAAAGAAGAGGTGAATGCCAAGCAAAAATGAACTAAATGAGAAGAAAGGACATTTTATTTTAGAGATTTCAAACAGAAATTGCTAGAAGTGGGGGAAAAAATAGACAAGATGCAGGACAGTGACAGCAGAATAAAGGAAACAGAGAAAGGTTATCTCCTGGTGTCAAATTTATACAGTCTTCCAAAGATCCTGGGTGAAGTGCTCAGAGGAATGTTTAAAGCAGAAGTAATTCATAGTGAGTATTCCACAGAATAAGATGGATAACAAGCAACCAGAGGCCATATTAAATCCAGCATCTGGTAGGTCTACAATCTGACAACAGTTTGTAAGAAACTCTTCATTACCTAAGCACAAGGTTGATGATTGGCCAGTAGTGATCAGCCTGGCAGCTGATTAGATTCTGAACTTCCTTGCAGTTTAATAAATAAGATCCATGCCTTTACAAGTCTGAGAACAGCTCCTCACAGTTACTACTACAAATATTACCTGCTTCAGAGCTGTATCAGCACAGCAGCAGTATTCTAGAAAAGACACAGCTGACCAGGATTAACACTAACAAGTGGTAATTGCCCAGACTTCTGCAATATCCAGAACAGCTAAGTAATTGTTAAAAGTACAAAAATGTTTATTATACTCTGTATTAGAAACTGTCAGTGCAGAAACACTAAAGGCCAATCTTAAGAGCAAGCAGCATTTCACTTTTTGCACATCAAAGCAAGTCTGTGCTAAAGATCCAGTCCTTTGTCCTAAGGATCAATATCACCACTGAAAGCTGGAGCTACAACACTTCTGTATACAGATAAGTCTTCTGTATACAGATAAAGTTCCAGGAATTAACACATTCCTTCCAAACTAAGTCATTCAACAAATGAACACCACACATACACACACTTTTCAAATATATTGATCGATGCCATTATAGAAAACTAGAAAATCTGGGACATAATGTTCCTTATATGTTTGTGTTTAAAAAAAAAATCTATTTACACAGATATTAAGCTTGCATATAATCTGAACTGTAAACAGAAAGTCCTGGGAAAAGTCATTGGAAAGCCTCTATAACCATAAAAGGAATCCAGTCTTTGAAACAACACTTTCTGCATAGTTAGAAAAATAGATGTGATTAAAAAATTAAAATAAGAAAACAAATGCCTTCAGTCTAATGGTACACACAAATTTCAGCCTATAAAAGATCTTTTCTATGGGATAGGAAGCTTAGACATGACAGTGGCTTTAAAACTGCTGTTACAACCATATGTTTAACCACATAATAATCAGCTCTTTTTCAATTCTATGATAGAAAACTGAAAGTCAGTGGAATTCTCCCCTCCACATCCAGTGCAAGCAAAATCAGACTACCATCGTGTGAATGTTTTTCCAATATTAAACTATGTGTCTCCTAGCAAGAACATTTAAAAATACTGACAAATAAAGTTGCTCTGTTTTCACATTTAAAATATAAAATTGAATTAATACACACTTTTCTGGCATGTACTAAAGATCATGCAAAAGTGATAATCACATTTTCAAATAAATACATAGCAGTACAATAGAGATTGAGTTATAAAGATAATAAGCAGCTTTAAGTTAACTCAAGTGCTTTGAAAGTCATGACAAGAAGTAATGAAAGCAAAAACTAGGGTTTTGCACAAGAAAAATTTGGCATATCTATTTGAGAGATGGATGCTCTGTAACTGATATTGCAGATGCAGGACCAACAAGTTTATAAAGTTTATATTCACGATATGGAGCACAAGCATATTGGGAACCTACAGAAGTGATTCCCTGTGCACTGTCATTAGAGACTCAACAGAAAGAAGTAATACCTTTTTCCCCAATGTCAGTCAATGCATATGAAAGGATATCTGATAAAAACCACAAAAAAAAAAAAAAAAGTAGCTTGCTCCCTTTCGTTTTCAATTTTCTTCTGGAAAATTTTTTCATCAAGAAGAGGCTGACAACACTATCCCATTCGGAAAAGGTTAGCTATTATGACTTTGCTTATTCAGATGTGAGTGATAAAGTCTGGAAGTTAGTCCAGCTGAGCTTCCCATCTGCAATCCCTATACATCTCTGATTCTTAATCAGAACTTTCAGTAGAGCAGTTTCAAAAGTTATTTGTTTCCCACTGAAAACTGAAACTTGCTCTTAAATTTACCCTGCCATAGAGGAGACCTCTTGCTCAACTGGAAAGCAGAAATAAGTGAACTTCCCACTGTTCGGTAGAAAAAGTTCTTGATGGTGGGTTTTACCTCTGCCGGCTTGCCAACACCAACGATAATCAACTTGCCATCCTCCAAGCCAACAAGGATGTGGCTGTACTCTTTGGTGACAGAAATGCAATGGATTGGCAGTCTCATGGCTAACGGAGAGATGCTCAGACTCAGGCTGAAAAGAACAAAAAACACAGAGGAAAAGTACATCACATACTGCAAAGAATCACATGCAAGTGAAACTGCTGTCCATGGGATGCACTGTAAAACACAGTTTCTCAAGAATAAAACTTGCAGTTTCAATTATCTGATTGTATCCTAAAAATCTAACTGCAACCCAAAAAAGAGCTTCAATAACAAGAACAGATGTGGGTAGGTTAAGTCAGTAAGCTAAGACATTTTCACTGAAAACAGTGACCTTAGTCGCACAGCTGCCTGAGTAACAAACATCCCCTCCCATTCTGAGGAGCAATGGAGCTCTACAGAGCTAAGCAGTAAGTGGAGCTGAAAACTTGGTGCAGAACGTGAGGCTTGATCCTGCAGTTGCTGAGCTCCCTGTGACTAATCACAGCAGTCTGCACACTGACAGCTCCTCCTGTCAGTTCTAGGTGTTTAATTGGGATAAACGTCTGGCAAGAACGAGATCTGTTACAACCTCTCATTTTATCTTTCTCCACATCTTAGCTCCTCCAAAACCATTTTTTTGGGCAGAACACAGAAAAAGCAACAGCTATCACCTATAGCACCAAGCAAAGTTTATTATACAGCCATTTCTCTATGAGCCTCCATATTTGTATCTCAGTAAAAATGGTGGTACGTTACCTGTAGAGATCCCGTATGGAAAGAAACCCTTGCAAGCTGCCCATGACGATGTATTCACCAGTTACACACAGATCGGACACTTCCTCCTTCAGAGTCTCAGAGCCCAGATATTTCCCATTGACAGAATAGAGATGTAATGCATTCTTATCCTGAAGAGATCAAAAACAAATGTGTCACAGAGGACTGATAGGATGAAGAGTGTTGTACATCTATCTTTTGCTCATTAAAAGGCACTAAGCTGGCAACAACCCACAGACAATAACGCTAACAATAGTCTCCCTGTTGAATGACGCAAGAGTAGTGAGCCTGTACTCAATGTGTGTGGAGGTTAACTCCTGTATGGAAGTTTTTGAAGCTACTCCTTAATGCAACATTGTAGTCCATTTAATAAACTCTAAATTTCCTGGAAACATTCATGGATTTAATAGACAGGTCCCAATTTTATAATAACTCTTGTTAAGAAAGAAAGATTGCACTCATCTTCAGCTTTGCTACTACCCTTCTTCCCTCTCTTGCCCCCTAAATCCAAAGGCAGAAGGAAACGAGAATATTTCCACAGAGCTAGATCCAGAAGCATTTTCTAAACAAGCCAATGACTTGTTGCTGGATTATAGATACAACTAACGAAACCATCTTAAGTTCTCCAGCCTGGCATAACCTTGAATCTCTTTCCTCCCCATCTTTCTAATGTAGTTAGCATGCCTACATCAGAGGTTTGTTTTCCAAGAAATCTCCCATGTCTAAAAAAATCACAACAGCTCTACCATTATTAAAGCAACTACACAGATCAACAGACACAGCCTTATAGCTGTATCTCCAATCCCAAACTAAGAAACTTTGTGGACACCGAGCATCTTGTACCCAGAACATGCTGCTCTCCTTAATAAGGCTCTGTTCCTGTGCACAGTGGAACTTGCTTCCCCCCTAGTTTTCCAGTCCAAAGTGGCTCTCCCAGGAAGATTCATTAGTGTATGCTTGAGCATCTTCCTTGCAGGTGTTTGGAGATTTTAATGAAACTCACAGGAGTACAATATGCCTGTCACTTACCTTTAACCAAATTTCACTTGAATTGGCCAGCAAAATTTAAAAAATATGGAAACTGACACTGCACGCTCAGAAAACCTCCTTACTACAGGAAATGAGATAAAGTTACATACACTTATGATTAAAATCTTCAGTGACAAAACAGAGGTTTTCCACAAACTTAAGTACCTTGAGAGTAGTCTTTCCTTCCACACTGGTGTGGACAACTATATGGCCTTCCAAGGAGACAGCCAGATTGGGAACAGTCAGCAGGAGAGAACTCTCACAAGGTGGTCGCAGAGTCCTCACGTACTGACCTTTCCGAATAGTGTGGACAATGACAGTGCCGTCCTGCAGCAACCACATTTAGGGGAGTTAATATTCAGCAGGAGAATTATCACAACACTCTGCATTTACATACACAGGATGCAGGGAATACTTTGAATGCACTTCAATCCTTAATGGGAGATAAGGACTCCTGAGCATTAGGAACTCTGCACAAAGAAGCCTTCCCCTCACGACCATGTACTATAGGCATATGAAAAAAAAAAAAAGCAAATAGGGCAGGAGGGAGGACAGGCAGCAAATCAGCCACTTCACAGGTCACATTTATGAATAGGCATTACATGGAGTACAAAGCCAGAGTCCAACAGCCTGCCTGTGCAGTACAGTAAAGCAGACGATGAGGAAGTGGCACAGAACCTTCAAGGTTAACACAGCAAGGAAGAAACAATCAGAACACTGTTGCTATGAGAAGCTTAAAATCTCCAAGAAAGTCCACACACATGTGCAGAATAACACCACATAGAAGGTGAGGCCCATGCTCTGCACAGTGGTTTGAGACAGTCTGATTTAAGCCTACAGCAAAGGGGATGGCACATACCTTCTTGATAAACAAGGCTTAAGAGAAAGATTGTGAAATAGTGACTTTTTTCTATTAGTCTTAATCAACTTCAAACACCTTGTGTGGTTTGACTTCAGTTGAGAAAAGGCAAAAAAAGGACAAGTACAAAGGTGCTTACCCTGGATCCTGACACTGCCATATCCAGTTCAGTACTGATGCCAACACTTGAAACTTCATCAGTGTGCCCATAAAGGATCTGTAATGGCTTAGGTGCGAGGCCAACAGGCACTCCTCCCTGAGAGTAATAAAAAGTGCAATAATACATTCTCTTGCAGCTGAAGGACAAGCAAAAAATGAACTTCTAGTATCTTCAGTACCAGTTGTGTAAGGTGTATATCTGACAGAGGTCAAAGCCAAAGGCATAATTCACCACTCCAATATCAATGTATTACCCTCTGTGTCAGCTCCTCACTTACTGCAATCCCAAGAATGAATGAACATGTAGTTACTGCGTGGGTGTGAAAGACAATGGTACTTTGCTGCCTCCTTCCTATCCCTGCAGGTGTCCAGGAGTGCATGGACAACAGTGAGCAGGCCTAACTGGAGCTGTTCACCTACCCCATCAACACACTTGTTCTTCACCTGTGCACCTGGGCTTGTCCAGTTCTTAGAGTTTACCCTGGAATCAAGCACTATCTTCACAATCAAGCTTAAAAAAGTTGACATTTACTTTTATTTTACTAAAAATAACAAGAATTCTTTCCATTTTCCAAGGAAAAGGAAGCAAACAGTATTTCTCAGTGACTATCAGTAGTACGATACACAAAGGAAATATTGGAATAATGTTCATTAAAAATAGCAACGTTCCCACATAACAGCAGGGTATCACAGCTTTTGTCCCAGTGAGTGTACTGTCGGCATAAACAGACTTCTTCTTAAACCAGTTAAGGGAAGAACTGTCCTTAGAGAGAAGGTACTGTAAATGGTTCCACAGAGAACTATTTATTTTCATTTCTGTGATAAAGATTTGCTTGCAAATCAGGCCCTGAAAGCCTAAAGCATGCAGAAATACAGAACAAGTGTCAAAATACAGGTGTCACCAAGAAGACAAGTAGAATGGAAATGCCAGTACACAGTCCATTTCTGCCACTTTGTAAAGACCAAGATAAAAGTCTCACAAGAAACATTTACTATACATAAAACAGCATTTATATATCTATTAATACAAAATACATTTTAAATCTTAAGGAAAAGCACTTCTAAATAAAGACCATTTCCAGAGTGTGAGTTAACTCACCATGAAAAGATAAAATAAAAAAATGTCCAACATTTATCCCCACTTGAGACAAAAAGCTACTTGTATGAGCACTAAGGTCTTACTTTTTTTGACCATGCACTGTTACTACAAAGTACTTCTTTACAGAATTATAAATACTCCCACCATAAAGAGAGCTTCCACAAAAGCACATGCGGTTATGCACCACTCTACTGTTTTAATGTGCTGACTTTAGTTCCACAATAAGAACAAGGTGACTTGATGAAATCTACTGTCCAAAACATGACAGCTTTCCTCAGCAATTAATCCTACTTGTATATCTTGTATGCAGCAATCATAAATCAGCATTTAATTGCATAATGATGGAAACAGCTTAAGATTTTGAGTTTAAGTACACACGTGGATTACACAAGTACTTTCACTGTGTGAAAGCATGAGACCAATATTAAAGAACTTTTGAATGCCAGTGCAAATGCAGATAATAGACAGTGCTGTCTTTGCTGTAGTCATCAATACCCACCACAGAGAAAAGGCAGTGCTAAAATGCAGCTACTAGGAGTGAACAACTGCCCAGAAATGTAAAATTCTTATTTGCCTGCCCTGAAAATTATCTGTGAAATCTTTAAGAGAGCCTCTAAAATAATGTACTTCAGCTATATAGTAACTAATATGTATAGTACTTCAGAGAAGACAATGAGAGTAAAATTACTAAGCAAATTTATTTTAGCGCACTATCTTCCCTACAAACCTGAAAATAAATCAATAGCAAAACAGAGGAAAAAAATACATCCAGAAACTGCTTCTGAGTATGCCTAAATAACCCACCTGCTGAACTATTTGCCATATCATGCAGGTAGTATCTCTGGAGCCTGAAATTAAATGAATTCCACAGTGGTCTATTGCCAAGCAGGTCACAATATCTAGACAACGAAAAGAAGACAAAGTCACATGGTAATTAAGACTAATTTCCCACAGACTGACAATGTGGATACAACTTGTCACACTGTATCCTGATTTGCAGTCAGCATGAAGTACTCTACTGTGATAAGGGCTGGTGATACTATTAAACAATTACCTCATCATACAGACAAATGTACCCACTTGACACATTCAGCTTTGCTACCTAAAAATAGCAGGCAAGCCTTATTTTGAAACTACATCAAAGCACCAGTCCAATGACTGAAAATGCTCGAGTATTTATGTGTAATCACAATTCAAGCATTCTTCTGCTCTTACACTGCTATTCCTTTACAATTGCTACACTTGTGTGCCCAGGGGACATGGCTCTATTCTGGGAACACCCAATAACACACACAACCCTTTCAATTTCCAACAGAGTGACTGACCCATGTGCCTGATGTGCTGTCCCATCAGTTTGCCTTTCGTAAGGGATGTCACTCGGAGGCTGTTGTCCCAGTGTCCGCCACTGAAGAGCAGCTTTGCGTCATGGGACACTGCAAACAGCTTGGAGGTGATCTCCAGCCCCGGGGCAAAAGGACCGCTCATGCTGCGCTGTGTTCTGCAGGCAAACGATGAGCAGTTAACAGTAACCTGGGTTCACATCCACGTATTTGGCACTTCCTCTGCCTTTAAACATCAGTAATTAAATCCATCTATAGAAGAGGCTACACCCATGGAAAAACTCTCACTGCCACCACTGACTGGAAGCAAGATTTCATTTTAGATTTTTTCAGCCTTTTACACAATTGGATAACTCACGTCCCTACTAAGCACTGTAACATTAAAGACAAAAAGGAATATTCTAAAAACAAAAAAACCAAACTCACCACATATACCTACGTATTACTATAGCATAAGAATGTATGAAGACTATCACAGATTACACAATGAACTTTTATGATTGAAAATTAGAAGTAGCTCTAGGAATGAAGCCTGAAATGTCACTTACATAACTCTGCTAGAAATGCTATCACAGATTAGAGGCAATTTTACTGAATATCAGAAGATGCATTCTTAGGTGAAAACTCAGTGAAAACAGTATTTTCACTCATTTTCAACAATTACTGTATTTCATTATTTTCGATGCATTCATCTGTACCTGCCTCAAAATTTGCTTACTTGGGATTTGTCACTGTTGTATCTTTGATGAATGTGAAATAGTTGGAAATATTTTTGTCATAAGGCAGCCAACCATGAGTTCCAATAACGCAGTTCAGACTTGCTGTTACCTAAAAAAGTTTAATGAAAAAGGTGATGAAACCCAGAGGTTTATTTTCTGTTTGCCTTGATGCTAATGGAGCTTGCATAAAGTCCAGCAGAGGCTTCTTGAAAACCTACCACAAGGGAAAAATGACATGCACCTCTCCCTGAATAAACAAGTCAATAAAAAATCCCACTCAGATGAGTTAATCCACACATGGTACATAGAACCACATTAGAATATGTTCTACATAGGTTGGAGAAGTTGGGGTAGGAAGGATGGGAGGAGACAAACACTAAAAATCCCAGTCAACCAAACCGTCTCCAACATTTAATTACAAGTCAGTCATTTAGTTTAAGTTACTGCTTCTTTTCTTCTCTGAATACTAACTGTTAATAGTAAACATATTAACACAGGAAGTTTAACATTGTACTACAGTTTCATTTCTGAGGAAGTAACAAAGCAATCTAAATATTCAAGGTCACTTTCATTAGATATTTATGAAAAACATAAGGAGAATTTTAGATGTGCTCAAATAACCTATAAAAGTACCACATAAAGCCAAGACAATTTGGATACACAAAACAGAAATATTGGAATATTCTTTCCTGCAAAACAGAGGTATTATTGCACTGGGGCCAGTGTCTAGGCCTTATATACAGATACAAATACAAAACCACTGTTCTCCTTTCAGTATTTGGTATCTGTCATAGTACAAGATCATGTGCTAGTGCAAGAGTTAGTTTTAGGAACAGTGCAGGCTTTTGGAATGTGCATGGTACAGTTTAATATACAGGTATGGTACAGTTTAATATTGGAAAGCAACGACAATGACACCATTAATAACTCAATGCTGTAATTTTAAATCTAGGCTGCATTGCATTAGCAAATTTGTTGTTGCATGGAAGTTGATCAAGTGGCAAGTTACAATATGCCTCACTATAATTTACAGTCATATCTCATCAGCTCTTAAATGTCATTCAACAAATCAGCCTGGCTTCTCCTTGGAAGATAAATATTTAACTTAACTGACATTTGCTATAGGTTAAAGGAACACTTTTGAAGAGGAACAGTTAAGAAATCTTCCTCTACAAGCTGCATTAAAAAAAAAACTCACTTGACTATCTGTACGAACAGTACTGACACATGCAACTCACCAAGATCTCTGGGCTTCCCTGAGAAATAAAGGAACGTGACTGATTCCTGGGGACAACAGCTTTGACAATGGGCACACCATCACTAACTCCCTAGGAGAAAGGACATAGGTTTGATCTGATTACATCCAAAAGCTAAAGGTAAAATCTAGAACCTGTGAAGAGTAAGATGCAAAGCCTCTGGAATCAGTGTCAGACCTGTCGAGCACCCTAAGGCACTGGCACACACCCATTCAGTTTGTGCAGGTAAGCTTCATCACAAACACTGCAAATGAAACCCTGACCCCAATCAGGGAGTTTAACTACCAAGTTCAGTGAGTCCTCACACACCACCAGTGAGGTTTGCAGCTTTCTTGGTGTAGTGACTAATTTAATACTCAAACAACACCCACACAAGCAGCCAGCAGATTATGGGATTCAACCTCTATGAAGCCAACTAAAAAGACAGAGCTCATTTAATACACATTGCATTGTAAAATATTCTCTCTAAATCGGAAGCAAGTTTATTTTCATCTAGGTTGTGACCTTTTCTTTCAAGTACATCAAATTTCAGATTAGACTTCAAACAATTTCAAGTAACACATCTACCTCTATGAAGAATGACTTCAGCTCAGTGAGGTGTTGAAAGAGATTCAGAGTAGAGGTATCACTTTTAGTTAGTCTTTGTACTACCTCTTCTGCTGATAGCCTTTGTGGATGGGGCTCCTAGGAGGCAATATTTGAAGGAGTAACAAATTAGACTAGTTTAATAATTTGTTCAATGCACATGAGATACTCAGAATCTTAATGGGAAAACAGTCTTAAATACCTAATATCCCTTCTTGAAGTAAATTAATTTATTTTGAAAATGGATTCTTTGGTAATGTGGCAAAGATTTAATGTTGCTAAAATTACAAACCGTTACCTTAAAAACCATTGTTTTTTTCAGAAGTCCCTGTAACTCAGTTGTATTTAACTACAAAGGTCTGGTTGAGAGGGAGCAAAAGAGCAAGTACCTTTAACAGCTGACAGGGAGTTTGCCCAAAATTGTTTATCATTCCTTCTAAAGCCTTCCTTTCTTTCTCATCTGTTAAAGCATCCAAATCCACAGCCCCTGGATCACAATCAGAATGATAAAGAGCAGGAAAAAAGAAAAAAAAGACAATCCAAACAACTTATTAAGAACCAATACGGGCAACTTACTTTACTTGATGCATTATGATCCTTTACCCCCAGCAGAAAAGCCCCAGACAACGCCTCCATTTAAACTACAATCTGAAAACTCCACTCTGCATGTGGAATTTTAACTGTATCTGTCAGGGCAAGAATTGCAGGCCTTTGCCTTATCAAATGAATTTAATTTACCTCATTACAAGCAACAAGTAACACACAAAAACTACCCAAAAGTTAGTTTTGAAATTAACAGCTTAAATTTTTCTCTAATATTAGTTGCTTTTAAACAATGTGCCTGAACTCTAAACCACAAGAAACCTCTTCCCACAAACACTTTTAAGTAAATAAGTGGCAAGAAAATCCAGTAACTTTTAGGAAAAAAAAGACAAGAAACTGTAACAGCCCTCCTTTAAAAAAACTATCCTTTTTTTTTGATGACACATTACAAGGTTTGCTGCCATATTTCATCGACAAATCTGCTGCCTTACCATATGCTGCTGAATGGTACACTCACAAATCAACTACTGTCTAATAATGAAAACTCACAAGCCTGATGACAATTAGAGAACATGCTGCTTTGTACCTTCATAAGTACAATAATAGAACACATTGAGCGCCTCCACTGCAGCTGGTCCCCTCTGCTTGTAGCCAAAAATCAAATCTATCCATTCATGAAGATGAGCAGAAACATACTCAGATTCCTAGAAAGAAAAATTGCTCTTGTAAGAATGAGAGAAACACTGCTCCCATCTTGAAGTTTTTACTATTCTGTGTGGAAAAGATTCAATTTCTAAATTAATAGCATCCATAAATTAGGTATTTAGCAATACATAGGGCAGAAGCATAAGAATTTTGTGGGTTATGGGAAGTAGCTGGCAGGTAAGAGGGAAAATCAATACAGTGACACAAGAGGTATACACTATTGAAATGCACCTGTGCAAGGGAAGGTAACCTGCCAGCTCCCTAACACCAGACAGAGTCATCTTTAAATAGCAAAGGAACCCTACTCACCTACCTCTGCATTTTATCTCCCAGGACAGCAAATGCCCAAATCAATAGTGTCCAAAATGCTCAAGAGATTAAATGCTTTTTTCAGCATTTTATCAATATGCACAAGAAGTTCTAATGTCAAATGCAACCACAACTCTAGTTTGCATGCCATCCCACTTGTTTTACATTTAAGCCACAGTAGCAATGTGCACTTCTTTTATGTCACACATACAAACATCATCTTACCAGAGCCTTCCTGTGTTTATAAATAAAGTCTTCTGGGGAGTGGGCCCACTTAGGCAGAACAACATCATTTACCACCTCTTTGGACATTTGAAGTTGGCCTAAGTTAAAACCTGGTGAATAATTCAGAAAAGTTTTAGAGTTGCTACAAAATATTTCAAGCACCTTGACTTCTCAATAAAGATTAAAAATCATTATTTTCTCAGTGCAAAAAAAGGATATTGAGAAGTTATTAATATAAATCCCTAATAACTCTACCAGTGACATAGGAGGCTAAGCTCAGTTCTGCATGTTTACAGTTTTAAATGATAGTGTATAACAATTATCCAAAACATCAAAATTATTTTGAAGCTTTAGTCCCAACCATAGAAGTAGTATTAATCTTTTACACATCCATCTGTAAACATATTTGCATTTGCTCGTTGTAAACATAATTGCATATTGCAATTCTCGAGGATTAAGAGTCCAAAACACTTCAATAAGGTTATTCATAAGAAGGCTGTTACTTACAAGTTTAAATCGTTATAAAGTCAAGGTTTTTAAAAAGTCTGAAATCTCACCAGCTACCATTGAAACAACTCTAAATACTTAAATGACTTGAAAGTGGGACCAGGGAGTTCTCAATTTTTCTAATTTAGAGCTCTAGTAGATTGTAGCAGCACAAACATATAAAGCCATTTCCAAATTGTGCAAAGATAGAGAAACAAATCACTAAACAATAAATGTGAATTTAAAAAGGAGTCTCATCAGAATGCAACACACTGTCTTTTAATCAGCACTATAATAATTATAATTAATCTCTTAACTTTTGGTAAATATTTAATCTGTATTAACTATTACTAACTTTTTCAAACATCCCAGTGAGCACCTCTGATCTCTCCACTGGGTAAACAACACTATTTTTAGCCATTCTTAAGCCCATAGCCTGAATTTTAAACTATGTTTAGGCTGCTGCTTAACACAACTGGTATCTTCACTAAACAGTTTAAAGCCAGTATCACGACTAATGTCTACAACCAATCACACCACAAAGTTTAAACAGTAAGTGTTCCTCAGCATTCACAAATGGCTGTAACAATTCTTTTCTCAAGAATACAGAAACAGTTTTCTGTGAGAATATTCCTAGGAGTCAGTTTACCATTTTGATTCTCCAGGAATTCTGGAAAGCAGAAGAACTCTGGGATAAGTTCCTTGACATCATTGGGGTTGTCCATGAGTGCCTGCCAGGTAGCAGGAATAGAGTGGAACTGTCTGTCAGCACAGTCAAATCTGAGGATCAGAAAACTCAGGTTAGACTTGGATGATTCCCTTAGTAAAATGACAAGGAAGTAGCAGGAAGGGGCTGCTTATTTGCTCAGCATACCTGCCACTCTGCAGCTGGATGTGAAGTGTTGTGAAAGGCTCTACCCGAATGAGGTAATGCATGACACCAGCAGCATTTGAGTAATGTGTCCCATAGTGAAATTTGTCAATCATCCCAAGAGGATCCTCAAAATTCTCATATCTGAAAAATGAAATCTTTATAAATACAGCTGGGCATTATGGTTGATTTACTTGTGGATTATGCTTATTCCAGGCAAAGATTCAAAAGAAATGACAACAATCTATGAGAGAAAAATACATTGAGTTCCATCAAACACAAAGATTCCAAATCTTACTTAGAAAGTCCCTAAGAAAAAGACTGCTGAAAGATAAAAATGTACACCAGATGAAGGCTTTGCATGCCTGTTATACTCTTCCCTAGGCATTTGCTATCAGCTGTCAGAAACCTGACAAAGGGCAGACAGGACTGATGACTTTATACAACAGACCAACATACCCCATGCCACTAAAATGAGTATTTACTAGTGAATAGACTTGTGATGGTTTCCTGCAGGATTTAGGAAATGTGTTCTGACTGTGTAGGATGCAGAAGAGAGACCTTTTTTACACTCATGCCCATTTCTCCTTTTCTACTGGCAAACTCACTCTACCATGCCACCATCTGGCTGATACATTCCTCAGTCTCACAAGGCTGGTAAGAGAAATTTTAATTAAACATACTTCTAGAGAACCCATTTCTTTACAGTCAGGATAGAGCCTAGTCATTCAAAGGAAATTCTCCCTGTTCCAAGTTTTCAGAACATTTTGGAAGACACCTGGCTGCAGTCTGGTATGATAGCACACTCACTCCCCAGACTACCAACATCACTACACTGCTGTGTGGGTGTAAGTGCCTGTCATTGGTACCGACAAAGGACTTGCTGAAAGTCATTTGAGACATATTTTATTTTGAAGATCATAATTTATGCTTGAAAAAAAGAGAAAGCACAGATTTAGGATCAATGCTACCTCTTAGCACAAGCAGCTGAATTCAGCAGTATGATTTCACATTCCTTATCTTGAAGCAGACATGGGACATGTTTTTTCAGGCTGCTGAGCCATTAAATTGTTTTTGCAGTCTTTCAGTTTTTCACCTCCACAGCTGAGAAACAACTGAATATTTACAACAGTAAGTTTTGTCCTTTCACTGCCATATAACTGAGTGCTATATAATATAGTCTGAATGCAGCAGGAACAACAAACCAACCACATCTGCGAGTGCATTGGTTATATCATAAAACCAGCTTCAAAAATGTCACTGCTACAACTTAATTTGTTAAATGTGTTATTAGCCTGGAGGCCCAGAAAAGACAAATAAATATAACCAAGTGTTCAAATACATACTTCTCTTTCACAGTCTTAGCATTCTTCTCATTTACCACACCTATAGGTTTGGACAGGTCCCTAAACACTGCAGGATTATTCAGGTCCAGTTCTTCTGAGGTGTAATCTCGCAAAATCCAGGGAAACTAAACCAAAAAAAGTAAGTCAAATATCAGAGAGAGATTAAAAATACATACCTTTGGCAAAAATTTGAAAATTAACTTTTTAATTACCACAGGATATTGAGCAAGGTCATTGTAAGTTCGTCCTGCCATAGTGTTCAGCTGAATAAGGTAGTCAAAGTTAGTTATTTCCCTATTCACCCATTTCTGAAAGACAAAGAAAGATAAAATCTAATTCAATATATCAAAGATATAATTATTACAAGTTACACATTTTGTCAGTATCTATCTGCCAGAGGACAGCACTGGCAAGTGAAAAGCGCTACACCACAAAAATTGTAGGCAAGTCCAGATTCAATTTCTCATAATGAAGTTTATCCTCCCTTTGATTCAGTGATTGTGCTATCTATATTTCACTGAAATCAGATCCTGTTTGGTGACAGTGCTGCTTCAAATACAGGGCAGCAGGCAATTAGTAACCTTGCTAAAAAGGAAAAGAAAAACAGGAAATAAGAGAAACAGAAAGAAGGCAAGTATGCAGGTACTTATAAAAAGGAGAAAAGAACTTTGAAATCTATTAGATTACTAACATCAAGATTTATTTATAAATTATTCTCCCATTGGTTAACAGTATAGGTGAAGAATTTGTAAACCAAATGGTCTGTGCACCTTTGTTTGCTCCATTATTATATTCTAAACCAAGGAACAGACACAGCTGTGTTCAGAAGGGCTCAGTATTTGTCTGGAGAGTGATAGAGATGTGTCATGACAGATGATATTTTCTCTGTGTAAATATACAACTCAATAGTTTTCATTGTCAGGAAAACAAAGAACAAAGTATTTCCAGTATTTTAACTTATTTGTAAAGCTTCCTCCCTCAGAGAAAACAATTTTGGCATAAGGAGATGGAAGACAAAAATACATTTACTATATTTAAAAAGTTATATGTGTTTATGGTAATATAGACATTTTGACATTTTCCTTTTTTACCAATATTACTAATCCACACTTAATCTTCATGTGAGTTTTGTTGAAAGCTCCATCATGAAAAGACAGCAGGGAAAATTATTTGCAAATCCAGTAAAACAAGTTTCAAAGCAGCACTCAAGATCATAGACTAAAACCAGAAGCCAATCTGCCATGTTTTATATTCATGTTAAAATGCCTGTCAATCTCATCACCAAAGCCTGGCTAAACCCATTTTCCTGACTGTAAACACAAACCAAAACACCCTAAAAACATACACAGCAAAGTTCAGTGGCCAGGCTGAGGGTACAGAAGTTGATAGCTGCCACCTAAACACTGGGGGAATCCTTCAAAAGGAGAGGAATACTTTAGACCACTGAGCTGAGGTCTCATACCTGCATCAAGCCTGACGCTTTGAAAAGCTCCTGTGGCGATCTGGTCCCAGAAATATTTGGAGAACGCAGTGACAATATCCGACTGTAGACTTTGTTTCGTACCTGTCAGAAAACAGCACTGATAAAACAATATTCTGGAGCCTGAAGGAAACAATTAAGCAACTTATCTGCTAATTAAAATATGAAATTTTCACAGTTACACTCTCAAGTGTAACTATAAACACAGTTACACTCTCAAGTATCTCTTGCTGTTTAAAACATCTGGACATGGATGGATGTGACATCCATCACATCAAAACTAAACCACACAACATTTTCTAAGAGCTGACCTACTAATAAATTGACCAGCTAGTACGTAAAGTACGTAACTCACCCTAAATTCTGAAATTTATCATAGTCCCTCATAAAAAGGATGACTGCTATTACCCAGGGGGGAGGAATTCAGTACTCCTTAATTATCTAATATCAATCATTTCTAATGTTACTGCAAAAAAGAAAGTCACCTTTGATTTGTAATTAATTTGTTTAGCCTTCAAAAAGATGAGCTTCAAAACACTTACATTACTACTGATGTGACCTTAGTAAAATAATCATTCTGTATAACAGAGAGAGAAAAAGGAAAAAGGAGGATCTTGTTTCATCTATCTTTTCACAATTAATCAGTTTCTAGGTGCCAGATGGCAGTGTAGATTTCCATGATGACTGTGTAAGCAAACCTTTTGCTATTAGTGCTACAGTATCAAGAAAGGCACCAGACTCAAATATAATCACTGATCTTAAACTTAACCTTATGCTTATTACATAAATCCATGACATTTAAGAAACCCATACCTCCTTAGTGAAGTTGAGGAAATAGTTGGTTTGATCCGTAAGGAAGATCTCCAAAGCTGATCTCCTCAGGTTGTACCGACGCAAATGGATCTCTCGAATTTGAGAAAGGTGCCATTTGAAATCAAAACCTACCCCTAGGAGGAACACTGTGTTTACTGAGTTGGAATACATATTTTAAAAAACCCTTTTCCTACAGATACAGTGTAGTACCAGCTCCAGTCATCTCAGAGTTATTCCTAGAAAGTCTTAGAGCTGACGTGATTAACCATTTTGCTAGGAAAATATTAACTTCAGATAGTGTGGTGCTGAAAGAAATGAAGCAAGAAACATCTGATGGCATGTAGAATTTGTTTTTGCTTTCTCATTAAAGATACATTGTAAATGTATTCTGTTGATAAGAAGTATGAACCAACTCCTTTTGCTTTCTTAAACAGGCTCAAACAAACTTTTATGTTTAGATTTCCCAAAGGCTGAACATTTTGGTATACTGATTTGGAAAATTTTACTACTATTTGTCCAACATTTCATTTTGGTGTTTTCACAACCAGCTGTGCAAGTTTTATTAAATTTCCCTAAATTAATACAGATGATTAATGCTTACGTACTACTACTTTTTAATCAATGCATAAGTATAACATTATTTGTTGTAGAAAGAGAACACAGAGGTGCCATTTACAAAGCAAATTAGAGGTAGTCACTTTTTTTTTAAGCAGCAGGTTTTTTAGTAAATTATTTTTGAGAAATACTGAGAATAGTTAATCAATTTACCAACTCGGAAAGTACAGTTCCAGATTCTTGATTCTGAAGGGATCAGTCAGCCACTAACCATTAAGTGCAATATCAATTTTAACTTGTCTCTTTATGTTTTGAAAATGAGTGTCAAAGTAATTGTAAACTCAGCCTACTAAAAGCAGAATGCTGAACTACACTGAAAATAAAGAGACATTGATCACACTTACCTTCCTCTTTCTCAATGCTACCATCAAAGAAATAGATGTGCTGGGTAGTAACCTCCAGCCTGCCTGGTATCACATCAATTACTGTAATGAGTTCACAGTCTTCAGACAATATTAGCTTTTCTTTCTGACTTTCCTCATCCTTCTCATCCCTGCAAAAACACCACTAAGTGTTACAGGGTTGGGTGGATTTTACTGTTGCTTAGGTCCTTGGTCAGAGTACAATTCAGAAAATAATCAAATTTGAATGGCATTAAAACTGCAACATAAACAATTATATAAAGCTGCTTTAATCAGCAGTCTTGGGTGTTTCAGACTAGACTACAAATATCATTTCATAGCATCACTCTTCTGTCTTGATATTTTCATCTCAGGTACAGTGGACTTGACTTATCTGAAGTGTGAAAATATCAGGCTGCATTTCCCTTTCTTATTTAATTGTAGGTGCTTAAGCCCTCTGGAGGGTAGAACTGAGTTCCAGCTCATGTGACTGAAGTTATCTTCAGAGTTATTTTGCTATAATCTACAGCAAGCATTTAATAACCTTTAAAGGACAAAATGTATCAATACCACTCAGAGTGCCAACTCTACTGCACTTAACAACCCAAACACACATAGATGCATGCACAACATGACATGTCCAATTACTGAAGCAAAGCATTTGCTATCCTCCCTCAACTCTCCTTTCCCTGCTCTCTCTCTCTCTCACTCCTGCCTTTTTTTTTAGTTGCAGTCACACAAGTGACACAAAGGAAGCACAGCAGGCCTTCCCTCTGGAATGCTCTTAAATACAAGGCACTCTCCAGCACTTAAATGCCAGCAACACAAATTCTCATGCTATGCAGTGGACTGAATGACCATGGCAACTATGGAGAAGAGGCAGCTCCAGTCTGGTCCATGTCCTTACACGGCATATTGCCTCCTGAGAATTATAGTCAATATACATAGCAGAAAAGCCTTAACAATTCTGTAGCTTCAGCCCACCTGTAAGCAGTGAATCACTAATGGATTCTCATAAACATCTGCTCTGCCTTCTTTTCCCTGGGGCTTTGCTTGTCTCAATGGTGACAATGATAAATCCAACAGTAACTTTGCTGATCAAAACTGCCCTGGATTGAACTGTTAAGGCCAGACAAAGAAAGAGGGAAACTCTGAATGCCATTCAACTCCCAAAGTTGTTTCTCGCTCCTTATCCCTAGCACAGAAACAAATGACAATTCCATATCCTGTTCTACTTACAAACTGGAACCGGCTGCTGTGTCTTCTTCTGGTAGCTCCAGAACATCATCTTCCAAGTCACTCACTTTCACCTGCTTCACCACCTCCAGAAGCAGAGACTCACTAGAAGGCTGTGTCTGATGCACACCTAGCATAAATGGACATAACAGCTCATAACTTTTTCTGCTACAATACTTTTGGAAATCTAACCTACTAAGCCTGTATTCTACAGCTGAATTTTGGTTTTAACTAAGTAAGAAGCAACCAGGTTTCTTAAGTATTTTTGTGGTTAAGCAGAACACTACAAACAGTCCTTGAGCTACACTGAAAATTATGAGAGTAGAAAGGGAACACAACACGTAAGAAAATTTAACTTGAATTCTGATGTGGACACTGACAAGAAAATATTTTGCAATATTTTTCAAGACTTTGCTAAAGCATGCAGATTTAATAAAAATGTATGACATTTGCTTTTTGGTTATGTGGGTTTCCAAGAGAGTTTTGCGTTTTTTTTTGCTTGAGCCGTGATATCCAATACAACAAACTTAACAATTCCACCCCTAACTCATCTGTTTGGCACACTTGTAAAACAAAGCATTTTGTTTCTTCAAGAAAGAAGAAAATAGATCAGAGTAAGCAGTGTTTGTTCAAAGCCTTTTAGAATTTGTGACTAAAATGTGTAGAAACAATCTCATACAAAAAGTTGTCTAACTTCTTATTTTAAAACATAGGAGTTAATTTTTATTTATTGTGCAACAAACCCCCACATTTCAATGAACCAGAGCCAAAAGAATTCTACTCAGTAGGAAGATGCTGTTTCAGGTCAAAGAAACATAATACAGATTTTACTACAGATGAAATAAAGAAAAAAAACATCAAGATTTAAGTATCTAGCATATACTGCTAATTAAACACAAAGAGGAAAGTGGGTATCTTTCTTTGGTAAGAACTCAAGTGAGATAGCAATTACAACTTTACCTAAGTTATCTCTCAGGTCACTAGCATCCTGATGAGAGTTGAAGTTGTAATTCTGCACTAGTTTTAGTCTCATACGTGAAAAATTTTCCACATTTGAAAGTTTCCAGTGCACAGGACGCTGTTTCCTAGGAAAAGAAGAATATTCATAAAAATAATCTGAATAAAGACCTACAGGAATGAACTGATTACAAAAGAGTGCATATTTATACAAATACTGGTCATCCACTTGTACATTGTAAAAAAATAAAATATTAAAATGCAGTTTATTCCTCTTGTTTCACACTGCAGCTCTGATCAACACTATCTTGTAAACAGTATTTATTTTCACAGAATTAGCAAGGTTGGAAGAGCTGTTCAAGATCATAAAGTTCAACTGACAACCTACCACCACCACGATCACCCCAAAATTACTTTCTAATAAGAACATTCCCTGACACAACTTGAGGCTATTTTCTCTTGTCCTGTCACCCAAGACTGTAGATATCAAGAAGGGTTATTGCAGTCAATCTGACCTGGTTTTAACCACATGAAACAGTGAGCCAATACCTTTTAAGCATCATGTCCAGTTTAGGAAATCCAGCCTCACCTTTCAGCCCAAGGCCCACGCTCAGAGAACAAGTAAAGCTGGGCTGCTCTCCACTGCCTCAGGGTGGCTGTGTGTTGACTGCTAAGCTGTTTGAGCATGCTGTTGTACCGCAGATTTTCCTGACGAGCCTTTCTGCTGAACGGCTCCACAAAGTGCTCCTGAAAGACCATTGCAAATAGATCTCGCACTGAATTAACTCTGACCTTGGAAAACAGCTTTCCAAGAATTCAGGGCAAGAAGAAGTAGTGGAAAAGGTTTAGCAAAGAAACATTCTGAAATGTTAAGGTAATTAGGAGAGAAATTTTTAAAAGCTTATACCTAGAAGAAATAGTGCAAGACTAATTTAAAGATGTGAAGAAAGCGTTATCAATGCTGAATCCACCCTAAAGCAATTTTGTATTGTCAGAAAAGCAGTCAGTATTAGATATCTTACTCTAATAGGTAGGATTTTTCTTAGATTCTGGTATTCTTGAATGTGACACTCATTGTATTTTTCCTTTAGCTATTTGAATAAAATAGACCTACAAGTTTTGTTATTAAGAAAGCAAAGAGACATGTAACTTCACTATGGTATTGCCTGTAATTACCAGTTAGTTCTAATGCTGAAACTCAATCTGGACCTTAGAAAGGTCAATTTAGAAACAATTTTTCCAAACATTAAATAAGAACTGGTCACTGTTGGAAATATTTTAGTTGTATTGAAATAGGGTTAAACAAAAAACTCAAAGAAACAGCTCATAATGGAAAACAGGTTTTAATAATTCAAAACATTAATCAAATCAGATGCAGCTTATGGCTGAGCATATTTCTACCTTGCTGTATGAAAAGGAAGGCCTACTGTACTGAAACAACTTTGATAGCACATAAGACTGTTAACAGAGCAGAATTAGAAAGCATATCCTAGAAATGCATATAGCACCACTGCCCATAAAATCTTAACACAATTAACCTGTTTACAGTTACTTGAACTGGATCATCCTGAAATTCATTTTCTCCATCTTTTAGAAGGCAACTCTCGAGAGAGTTCTTTTAAGAGAGCCCTGCAGTCACTGAAAATCTTACCTGAAATTTAAGCTTACTTTCTCCTCTTTCCCGGTCTCGCTTGTGCATGTTCACCATAAATGCTTCATAACAATCTTTCCAATAAAGTGCCATCTGCTCATTATCATGTCTGAATGAATTCTCTTCATATTGCTTCATATTTGGAATAATCTGGTTCACCAAAACAAAATAAAAAGTACCATATGATTTCTAAATGGGTTCCTCTGCTTTCATGGCTGAAAAGAGGGAGGAAATGATAGAAAAAGAATTTACTACTTACATATTTGTCAATATAAACTTGCCACTCCTCAGATCTGCAGTATTCTTGAAAATCCTCAAAGAAAGATGGGCTGCCATTCGTAGGAGGCAATGAAGGAAGGTGCAGATTCATAAAGAGAAGTTCATAAATCTTGGATACCAATGTCCGAACAAGGGGAATCAAAAATGAGTAAGTTTCTGTCTTCTCTTCAATTGACCTACTCAAAATGCCTTCCAATTTCCCCAGAAGGTAGCATGCTTCAGGCTGGCTCTCAATTACTTTTGTCTGAAGGAGGGTGTTTAGTTTGGCTGCTGCCATAGCACAGACCTACAAAAACGAACAGCAAAAAATGAACACAGTTCTCCTTGAGCACCCATCTTTTTCCTACCACTCCTGCCTGCATAGTCCCATCCTCAACAGAAGCCCTCTACCTTTTTGTTGTGCTCTGGAGGTGCACATTGACAGGACTGTAGAGTAAACCGGCAAAAGCTAAGAACCAATAAAACATCTTCCCAAAAGAAAGATGAGGGACTGCCACAGGTCTGCTCATTGGTATGAGCAGCTCTCCCAAAACCACAACAGTTAGATCAAATGTGCCCTTAAAACCCAAGTATCACTTGCAAGAATTTGCAACAAACCTGTAAGTTGTCTTGTGCAATAAATCCAAGGAGCAGCTGGACTTGCACCTGTGAAAGCCTAATTGCCTCTAGGCCAGCAGAGTACCAGACGGACAGACTATCCATGAGAGTCACTAATTCTTCCAAGAGCTATTACATAAACAGAAAATTAGCATAACATTAAAATAACTAAAATAAACTGAAGTAAAAGTAACAATAACTACTCTAGCTGGAGACACAATAATTTTAAAGAGCTGAAGAAGAGGTTGTGTTTACATTTATAATTTAACCAAACCCGGAAATTCATCCAAGAACATTGCAGTAATTTAAAGAAATTTGTGACATCAAAAAATCTACCTACCCCAGTACATTAAGTCAAGTATTTCCCCTAAATAAAGTGCATATATATATCTGTGTGTGTGTGTGTGTACAGGGAGAGAGTATATATATGCTTATTGTTTTTCCTATAAATTAACTCCTGTAAATGCCATATCCTTAGAAAATTTAAAGGACTCTAGAAGGCACTTCTTCCTGTCAGTATTTAGATAGCAAAAGTGATACAAGTCTTGTGAAAGGTGGGTATTCCCAAGGCAAACACCACATTTCGCTATCCAGATGTGTTTGTTTCACACTAATACACCTTGATATACTCTCTAACAAATTACTCAAATGTAAAATCATTCTGACTGAAATATCCCATTTAGGATATTAAAATGCTTTGAATTCTCCCTGAGCACAGTACAAGATAATTTATGAAAATACTGTTATTTTCAATTCAGAGTTGGCAAGAAACACAATTGTCACCACTCCAAAGTTCTCATTTCTAGTTAGGTCTCCCAACAGAAGGCAAAGCTTTTAACAAGAAGAAACTTTTTTAAAACAAGCAATTAAAAGCTTTAAGCTATGTTTACTAATAAGCAGGCATTTAGGAGAACAGCATATAAATTACTGTGTTAATGACTCTTGATAATATACTTTTCTCTCAAAGAAAGTAGCCTTAAAAATATTTTTAAGGATTTTTAGAGAAATAATGACAGTTTACATATAATCTCTCTCTGCTTTTGCTTAGAAAAATTGAAAAGCAAAGACAACTCAGACTGTGAAGGAAGTATGACCAGAGCCAGAGATTAAGTAAATGCAGAGATAAATTATATGTGTTGAAACTCCAGTATGGGCCAAAAACCAGAAGCGCCATTTCCCAACTTGCAACCAAGAGCAGAGTTTTGGCTGGTCTTTCATTCAGGATGCTCAGAGAGTCATAAATGCTGGCAAACAGTGCAAAATCTGCTTAGGCTACAACTGCTGCTGTTTCATTAGCTTTTACATTTTCTAAATATTTCTCCAGATTGAAGAAACCCGAGTTCTCAGTCAAGAGTACCACTTACATGCCTACTTAATTTGCAAAATTAACTATATTCCCTATGGTAAATATTCACATTTTTATTCATGAAGGGGCACTCTGATCCATTCTGCTATAAATCCTTACTCTGTAATATCTGTGATTTACTATGACTAGAAGCGTGACAGTGTCCAAACCAACAACTTTTTTGTTACCATTTCAGCCTATATACAGTACTTCCATTATGCAGTTACTGTACCTTTTCTGTCCATAAATTCGAATTAATTAGTCCTTCTGCCTGCAGGAAGCCTTGGACAATTAGCAAGAGCTTGAAGGCATTTTCAGCATGTGTAGGGAGAGCTTTTGAATCTCTGTTATCAGTGACTGACCATTCTAACATCTTCTCCAGCAAGCTGCATGGAAAACAAAATCCCAAAGTAAGTATTACATGTTCTGAGTGTAAGTGGCTTTTAAAAAATCCAATTAAGCATTTAATTGAATCTCTTAGTCTGAAGTTACATAACTGCCATCTTCTTGATAAGCCAATAAGAGAAAAGCGATTGAGAGACTCATGAAAACAGCGATAGTTTTAAAACCTTCTGGCCTCAAGACACTCCTAAACAGGTACAGGAATATATTTCTGACAGTATGTGAAGACACAGCAGAGAAAAATACATCTTGCTGGGAAACACCCACCCCTTCCCAGCTTCACTCATGTCCCTCACTTCTGTTTCTCCTCAAAAGGGATGAACTGTACACTCACTTGAGTTTTATTTCATCAGAAGGCCGCAGCAACTCGTTAGACATCCCCAGTTTGGTGAGAGCAGAGAACACCTGTCCTCTCTCAATCCAAGCATCATCATCAGATTTTTCAATACCTTTCCACATTATACACAGTAGGATGTCTGTAAGTAACTGTATGAGTTCATTATCACTCCCCTAAAAAAAAGTTAAATATTTAAGGCCCTTTAGTATAGAAAACTTTCAAAATATTTCTTATTCATCACAGCCCCTATGCTTTCATGCTTCAACATATGAAACTCTGCAGTCTAAAATCCAATTTTTTCAATTGAAAAGCTTGCGAAAACACAAATATAAGAGACTGTGGCTTGCTTGTATGATGTAAAACAAGCTGCCTTTACCCACCCTTGATTTTTTCATAGCAGGTCTGCTCCATGCCTCCTCTGGATGATAAAGGATGTTTAAATATAGAGGTGGAAGAGTTTGCAGGAGGCTTTTTGTGTTTTTTTGTGGTTGGGAGGGAGGTTACCCTTATTTTTTTGTTTGTTTTTTTTAAAGCTACCCCAAGTGGACAATCAAAAAAGAAGACACAGTACAAAAGAAAGTACCCCTATTCACTATAAAAGAGGCATACTGTTCACTTCTCTGTTGGATGGTAGGAGGGACAAAAAAAAGTAATAATCATTCATTAGGGAGAATGAAAAAACAAAATGGAATTTCCAACAGTTGGAGAAACCAGTCCCATAGTTACTTACTCCTTGGTTTTCAAAGATAGAAAGCTCAGCAGTGAAGCCCTCGTCATTTGTAACACCCAGCTCTTTGTCAGGCTGCCCAGAGAAGGGCTTTGTGCTCTCTGTGGGTGAGGGAGTGCTGGGCTGGCTGTCTGTCATCTGATTCCCAACATCAGCCAGTTCATAAGAGTCAACACTGGACAAATCTAAACTCAAATGTGAAGGATTACTGTGCCATAGTTCTCCTCGGCCCTCCGACCTGAAAGACATCTCTGCTGCAGATGCATCTTCCAGTGGCATAACAGAGAAATGGGCAGGGATGTCCAGGGATTTGTTGTCTTCTAAACTCCACTGATCAAACAGACCATTAACTGATGCAAAGCTGCCAGCTTTCTCTCCCTCTGTCTTATCAGCTTGATGTTTCTGAACCTCTTCAGTAGGCTTTTTATCCTCTTCCCTGGAGGAATCAGTCCTGTTCTCCTTTAAGCCAATCCGGACCTCTGAGTTTTCTTTCAGGAATAGTCTAACCAAAGTGTCCTGCCAGCCCAGCTGCTGAGAAATCTGTTGTGCTGCATCCAATTGGGAATGCAAAAGGTGCAAAATCTAAGGATAGAAGATATCCCATATCTACACATTAATTTTAGCTTGTAACTGCATCCATCTGGCTTTTCAATTAAGCATTTTACAATCTTACAACTTCTTTACTTTTATTACAACCTTATATAAAGAGCCATAATCAGCTAATAATAAGCAAACCAGCCACAAAGTAGTTTTTCCTCATAAAAAACATATATTAGAGAAAAAAAAAAAAATTCTCAGGAGTAGGAGAGAAAAGAAGCTATTAAACCATATTGGTAAGTTGCCATATTTCAGTAACTCTTCTGCAACAATTCCTCCAAAATCCAGTTATCTCAATAAATAATCCCATTTACCCATAGTCTAAAAAAAATACTCAAATAGAAAATATGCTTGATTAGGAACTATTCAATAGATAAAATTAATAAAATTATAGTATTCATAGCTTACTGGTAGCATAAATTATAGTTTCACTTCTTCATTTTGAGGAACCTTAACAGACTATATTGTGTCTTACAGCTACCATTCAGTACTAATTCCAGTGATACAAGCTTTGATAAAACTCAGTAATTCAAGGAGCCTACTATCTCAAACCTGTAGAAAATGCAAGCTATTTGAGAATCATGATAGAGGCTTCTTCACTTGTTTTGGCTTTTAAAAGTACTTGAGTACACAAAATTCAACAGTAAGTGACAGATAGGTCTCATTTTTTAAATAAATCATTGCTAAAGAAAACAGTAACAACAAATACTGCCAATGTGCTCCAAAGAAATAATGTAGTTATCCCACTGTACAGTTTTATAGGCTTGAAGGACAGTATTCCACTAAAGAAGACAACTAACCTTTCTACAGATAATCACTCTCATGTTTATATCTGACCTATGAGCCAGATACACTACAGCTAGAAGATCTTTATAATTCACAGCAGGATCTGTAGGGAAGAAAGAAAAAAAACACCATAAACAATATCACACAAGAGAACATCACAGATAAGTATTTTGATATTGCCTTGGAAGTTATGACTGCATCCAGGGATAGTAAAAGGAACAAACTTCAGGGAACTAAGAAAATGTTAGCTGAGACAAATGGGAACTGTGACTAGAACAGCTCTACAAGTAACACCTCTGGCTTTCCTCAACAAAAACCAGGTATGCTGGCCTCTGAGCAGCAGAAGTAGACTAATGTCAGATATAGCACTTGCCAATTACCTGCATACAGAACTTGGTTAAGAAGGTTTTTAATAAGAGAAACAGTAACTGGGGATTCATTCAGAAGGAGTCCCAGCCCGGAGTACCCCACTTCTCTGAGTCGCATGCGGTGCTTGCTCCGCTCATAAACTTTGGTACATTTCAGCATCTCTTCCACAATCTGTAAGGAAAAGTAGACACAAATGCAAATTAAGCACAAAAAAGCATCCATATCTCTCAAGCTTGTATATTATATAACATGCTGGTCCACAGTTTTTAAAGTTTATTTGATAAACTAACTCAAACAACATAGTTTTAAAGATCCCAATACTGTTAAGAGAACACTAATTCCTTTGTGACAATGCCATCTAGCTAACACAAGAGAAAAGAAAAAACCAAACTTGGATTATTAGTATCTTTGTAATTACGTACATTTCTGCCAGACCAATAGAAAATATAAATTTATGTTCAACTGATTAATTTTGGAACATATCATTCAATTCATTACCTTGAACACAAGTTCTCTAAGCCTGTCAGAGTATCTCTGATGCAATAACAGAGCATAAAGAATATCAGCATTCCCTGGCTCAAACAGCAATAAAAAAAGCTGGTCTGGTGTTGGACTGGAATGAAGCAGGCTGAAGAGAATGTCCAAAATTCCACAGAGCTACAAAATTAAGACAACCAAATTAATACCCAGTTCATTCAGATTTCATGCTTTGTTTTAGGAAAATTTTCTTGGGTTTTAAGTTTTACCTTTGCTGGTTAATAGACATTTGTTGCTCAATATTACTACATTTAAACAACTTCTAATACATTTTTTCTCTCTATAGAACACCTATCAAATTAAGCAGGGACACAAAGCAAGTTCAAGTGCTGCTGATGCTACAAAATAAAAACTACATGATCACAACTCCTGGTTAGTTGAAGGTAAATTAATTTGGTTTTGTAAACTAAAAAAACTTTTCTACTGGCACATCCTTATCTTACCTACATCTCAACAGAACCACACATCAGTTAACTTTTTGCTTGTGGCCATTTTCTTCTTTGTACACCCTTCTTTTAAGTACAGAAGGCAAGACTTCTAAATGCCAAGATGCAAAACCAAACCATGTTTGGTTTAAACTATGAATTTATGCCATGTTGCATACCTGCTCCTCATCACTGGTGGCAGCTATGTATCCTACAATGCTCTGAATTTCTTCATGTGTTCCACCTTTGCTCAGGAAATATTTAATCAGTCCGTATAGGGATGTCCGTATTGTCCTCAGGTCATCAGGAGCCAAATCACTGTCTTTACAACCAGTCCTGTTCGCCAACAGACCAGAAATGCAACCTAAGGAAGCTCTTCATGGCTCATTAATAGCAATTTCATGGTGCCAATCTGGTAATTTTTCATCTACCCAGGCATTATGCACAAGTTTTCAATTTTTACTGAACTCAAGCAAATGAATAGTAATAATCAGATCAGACTTTGCAAGCCTATAAAAGCCATGAAGTGTAGACTTGTATTGATCTGGATACAGGTCAGGGTTGCAGGTTCCCACCTCCCACAGGAAACAGCAAAGTCTCTAGCCAATCATCCTCAAACACATAATTATATTCATAAGCAGATATAAATCATCAGCACTGAAAGGCTAAAATTTTAGATTTCTAAAAAAGTTCTACTTCAAATTCTACAAGCATTTAAAATAACTTAAAATGCCAAATTTTTTATAATGGTAATGTTCTGTTACTTAATTTGCATTGTTGAATACAAATCCTACTATTTTGTAGTTTTAATTACTTTTTCAAGCACTCCTCGTGTCACTAAAAAGCTTTACATAATCTTAGCATAATAATTCAAGGCAAGGCAAAGTAGTAAGCCAGATGGGAAAAAAAGTTTTGTAAACTAAATCAACCACCAAAATCCAACCTGTTTTATTTATTTTCTCATTAGAATGATGGCAAAAAAACCCAAGAGCCACATACAATAAATGAGGATTCAGAAATGGTAAAATTGATACCCATAGTAAATCCTGAGTGTGTCCAGAAGAAACTGCACACCATACTTCTTTCTGAAGAGCCTTCTACTGTCCTTGATGATTGTAGAAAGATACTGTATATGACCTACAAGAAAGTTTTCTTTTAGAACCAAGATAAAGATTTGTGTCATGCGAAGAGTCCTGCATCTCCACACAGTTGCCTGAGGCCGACAGCTCACCGATTCTGAAGGGAAAGTCACCACTGTTCCAGATGCTGAAGTCAAAAAGTAAGTGGCGATACATCTGTTGCAAAAGCTGCATGTTCTTTTCTACTGAGACTTGTTCTATCAACAACTGTACAGCCATCAGGACATTCACATCCATTAAGATGCTTGGCACCTGGCAAAATAACAACAGGTGTTAGCACTCAAAATACTGAATACCCTAATAAAATTTGATTTTAAAAGAAACTTAAACTTCCATTTTTTAATCTTCTACAATGGAGCAACGTCCACTCCATTACAGCAATACATTGCTCCATTAAAGCAATACAATAAACACAAAACTAGTCTTATTTTAATAACCAAACAATGCAGTACATATATCAAAAAAAAAAGCAGAACATGAAAAAAATTTCACTTTGCAGATAAATACCAACTTCTCACATCTTTTTGCTTTCAGAAACACAAGAAAGAAAATTCTTTCCAAGGAGGCCTTTCAAGACTGTGGCATTCTGGCTATGCTTCAAAATAACCAGGACCTCATCTACAAAATTCATTACTGAATAATGTTTCTCAAGTTTGCTCACCTTCTGTAACAAGGCTCCTAGGGTGGCAACTCCATGGGAGTGAATGAGATTTTCTTGATTAACATGATGCCCCTGAATAAAGTGTTTTATCATCAAGATGAAAGTTGCAACTATGTTCTTCTCCAGACGTGCTTCTGCAGAACAGAACAACAGTAGCAAAAGTCTTAAGGTTTATCATTGGATCACTGCATAAAAATAGAAGGGAAAAAGTAAAATCAAGTGTTTATATTCCTCACTATTTCTTGAACTTCTCAACTCATGTTACTTAGCTGTAGCCTGTCTTTAGATTTTTATCCTGTGCAGAATCACAGCCATTCCATGTCCCTCCAGAACAAAGTGATCCCAGTCCTGACTTCAGTTGCTTCATCCATGGCTGTAGGTTACAAACTTCTTTGTTACAATCTCTTACAAATGCTGCAGTTATTTTCCGTCTGTAGCTGCAAACTGACACTTCCTAGCCATGGTATGCAAAAAAATTAGAGACAGAGAGAAAATCTATTTTTTTAACTCTTCTCCAGCATTTCATATTTGAAAAAAAAGTGGTGTTCTGCCTTGCAAGGTCTGATTTCTCAGTGGTTTTTGTTAAGGTCAGTTAATTCGCAAAATTAGCCAAGTTTTTAAAAAATCTATCCTTAAAGCATCCTTTTAGTTTCTTTTTATTTTACTCCAAAATGTGACTGTGGGGAAGAGGTAGGAGCCTGAATATTGTATTAAGAAAATGTAAGTTTGGCTAAAGGGTAAATAGTGTAATTCTGATGCTGCTGTCCCCATGTGTCTGTGTGACCCAGCACCCAAGCTGCAGAAAAGCTTCTCCTGTTGATATTAGTAAGTTTTACATCAAACATAATTTCTCAAAATAATCAGAATAGAAATTAAAACAATATCATACCTCGGTACCTGTAACAGTAAATCATGAAAAGAAAAATAATGCTATTAAATATATCTATACTTGAAATATGTTATATTATTTCTTATATAGTGCTGAACTCATGGTATTCAGTATCCATGTCAGGCATCTAGGAACAGAAAGAGCCTTTCAGCTTTCCACAGATGCTCTGGAACATTCAGCACATAATAAACAGACTTCTGTCATTCAAAAAAAGACTTTAAAAAATGAAGCTTAAAAATAAGTTCACTTCAGCTTCACTTTCCTACCTGATGCCTTTGGGGATGAAAACACCACCCAGTCACCCTCTACAGGAGTTGCAAGTTCTGGAGGCAGCGTTTCTCCTTCAGACTTCTCAGGCATCTGTGCACCAAGAAAGCTGATCTGCTCCAGCAAAGGAAACAGCACATTCATTCCACCAATACAGTTGATCATATCCTGAATCAAGAGAAAAGGCAGGATAAACATCACCATAAATAAAATCCCTTCAACTATAGCAAAAACTTATTCTGCATACAGGAGTACTCACAAACCAATCAGAATGTCTCACAGGCCACTTACACATGGGCCATCCTGTCAGCTCTTGTTCTGAAAGTACATTTTGTACATTTCCTTCCTCCTACCACCATATAAACACTGAAAACTGAAGGGCACAAAAGCTTAGTAAGAATCTTCTGATAAATATATTTGAAAAACAGGAAAAACATTTCTCTGATTTCTAAGTTACTTGCAGCAGGCAGTAAGAGAAGACTTTAAGATTATACACATCTCTGCTTTAATTATCTTCCTGCACAATTTTAACTTCAGGCAGTTAAATAATACAATTTTATTTTTTTTAAATAACTCTACATATACATCAATTCTAAGTCTCTTCTTAAAATTCAAGTCTCCTTAGCCCCCTTTTTCCCCACCTTCTCACAAGCAGAGGCAGCACAGGACAGTCCCTGGAGTTATTTAAGGACAGACTGGATGTGGCACTTAGTGCCACAGTCTAGTTAACAAGATGGTGTTTGGTCACAGGTTGGACTTGATGACCTCAGAGGACACTTCCAATTTAATTGATTTTGGATTCTGTTATTCAAATAATGCTTCTTGTGATAAGGTATAATATATTACAACAAGATTTCTGGAAGTGATTCACAACCACTTCAAAACAATTCAAAATCAGGGTCTTAGCAAGCTAGCCAGAGACACCCACTCATTTCCCCAGCTTGGTTCAGAGATAAACAGTGTGAAGTCCATTACTGGGCAAAGAGGACAAACTGAAGTATTTTAGAACTATTCACATCCTAGCAAAATTAACTAACAAGTCTCTGAATTTTCTTGACATCAGTCTCAGCAAGTGATTGTAGAGATATGCACAGTGGATGTGTACAGTGTAGCTCCAACATTATTTCTTTATTAATCAGTTTGCCAGTACAGACAATTGTTCACTGCTCTTGGAAAAAAAGGCTGATCTTATTTATAGCACATCCATTTTCCTCAAGATGAAAAAACATGGTATTCTACTGACAAGTCACAAATGTTAACTAAAACCTACTAATCTGCATCTAACTCAGAGTTTATGACAGCAAGAAAATCATGACAAAATTCCCTAGAGATAACAAAATGTTATCAATACACAACATGCAGTCAACATTATGAATGGTCAGCAACCACAAAATATCTTCATGCACTGTGACAGTAAAAGCAGTGACCCTCCTAAATTCTCAATAAATGTAATTTAAATGTAACACTACTCCAGCTACAGAGTTACCCCATGAATTCTCAATATAAAAACAGGGTGCATCTGTTAAATATAATTTGCCATTAAGTGGCAGCCACTCTGGCAACAGAGAGTGACAGGCACAACTTTCCCAGGCATTGTTCTGGGAAAGGCTGTGAGAAGATCAGAGTAAAGAATGAGAAACAATTCTTATCTTCACTTGCTGCACCTGTTATTGTGTACATGTGGAATGTGTATGGAGAGCTGTTTACCAAAGGGTGATTTCTTAACTGGCCAATGGTGATGGTGTTTGGATTTCAAGGACCAGTTGTGTCCACCTGTATCGGACTGTCAGTAAGGGCAATGGGTTTCTTACTAAGGAGAGTCTAACAAAGTGACTGATCAGCCTGCTGGAATCATGGAGTCAATGGAATTATTACCCGGCCGGAGACGCTGTGCTATGACAGATATGCACAGCCACCGTCATTTTTACATCAGGTGCTGCCTCTTCACAACACATTTACCTTGATGTCCCAGTTCACTACTTTGTTTCCAGTTAGTCTTCCATGTAAAAGATTTGCAGACAGGTCAAGGCAAATTGGGTTTCTGCAAGCCTGTTAAACAAATATAGAACCCATGATATCATCAAGCACAAACAGATGCTTGAACACAAGATTTTGTGCCAATGTGTTGATATTAAAGTATTTAAACCACATGAAATCCCTAGAATATAACATATGCCATTTTAGGTTTGACATTCTCTATAGCACAAGATAATTCCATCCTTTTGCTAAACCTACTATGTCTGCACAAGACTACAGTTTAAGAAAGCTCTCACTGCTCCTTATCTTCCCATAAAAGCCACAGTGCAAACACTGAAAGCAATGCATACTATGTAGTCAAACAGAAATTGTGTCTTGTTTCATACCTTTGGTGTATAATGAAGCAGCACCTTACTGGGGAGATCTGCTACTTCAGCTTCTTGAGATTTCCATGGAGTTAAACAGTTTGGACCTATTAAAAAAATATATAAAATCATATGACATATTTTTAAGAGTCCACTGGTTATTAATGTAGCCCTTCACAAATTTTATACTACCAAACTTGTTAGAGGAACAAATAGGACAGTCAGAACCATATCTATTTGAGATGCTTTGAAGTAGAGTTTCTATGACTTAAATAATTCATTTCAGAGGGTCTGCTTAAAAACAAACATTCTACATGAAAAGCTAAACTATACAAAGAAGAGGTGTTTTTTTACCTTCAAACAGCTCTCATGTTTGTCTGTACAAACACCTATCTCATATTTGTCACTAATCAAGCCTAAATGCCCAGAAAATGAGCAATCTTCAAGATAGTTTTGTTTAGCAATACAAAATATTTCCTTTAAATGATGAAAGTGTTTTAATGCCAACCTGTAACAACCTCGAGTCATTATGCAACTTAATACCTTTCACACTTTGAACTATAGAACATAGCTTTCAGAGTATTTTCTTTAAAATGACCACTTAATTATTGGTTATTATGGAAAAAACCTCAAGCATAAATCACCTTTAAGTGGCCTAAGAAATAAGAGCAATACATTTAAAGAGTCTCAACTGTAAACACATGTGGGCAAAGGGTAGCAAAAATTCAGAATTTACAAGTGAAATTATTACATAACGCTTTATTTTGCAGGTCTGCTCATATGATAAACAGATGGGCTTATATAAATATAAAATTTGAAAATCAAACTTCATAACACTTATTAAATGTTAAGCTTATTTGCTTTAAAGCCCTCTCACTTAGGTAAGGTCTGCAGCTCTTCTGGATTTTAAGTTCTTCATTATGTGTCTGTGCAGAGCAAAGCTTAGTGGGGTCTTGTTCATAACTCATTCCTTTTACTTTGCTAAAACCAGTACAATCACCACTTACCTGCTAAATATAATGCTTTCACCTGAGAAGGTTGCAGTGCTTCATGAAAGATAATAACTGAGCCAAGTTGGCCCTCCAAAGATGTTGGACACCCCCATTCACTGTCCTGAGTCCCTGCTGAGATCATTTTGGTGATGAACTCTGGTTTTCCAAGAACCCCACCCCAACTTCCTGGAGCAAGAATGCCCCCAAGCGATGTCCGGTGGGGCATGATCGGGGAGGAAAAAGGCGGATCTGGTATCTGAGAGGGAGGAGGAGTTGTTGTTCTTTGACCAGCTGAACCAATGCAGCAAGAAGTAAAAGACTGGAGAGTCATACATGGAAGAAAGAACACAAAACACATACTGTAAATGTATGCTTTAAACCTGAAGACTGCACCCAGCAAATCTGAACTAAATAAATGAAACCATAAGCAACAAATTGTTAAGCCTTGAAGAATAAACAATCCCTCACAGCAGGCCAAAAACCAGAGCATATACTACTCATAATAGGAGAGAAGACCCTCTTTCCAACCAAGAGCAATTTGGTTACCTGAAGTGCTGCATGACCTTTGGCAGGAGCACAGCAGGAAGGGCAGTACCTCTGTAGTACGGGGGTACCTCTGCAAATACTCCTCTTCTGGATTATATTCCAAAATACTAGCCCAGCATATCTACTACTGCACATTTCTTTTATCAGTTAGTCCATTCACACAGATGCTCTTTTGGCAAAATTACTTGCCCTACCTCTAGTTACCTTGAGATTTATAATGTTTATTCTACAGAAGGGCCAAAATCCACAGTTTTGTCTTGAAATGAAAACTACACTTACTCTCATTTTTAAGTTTTATACTGATTTTTACCATTACAGCATCCAACTTAACTGCTTTCTCAACATACTCAAATTAGAACTTGGAAAAGAGGGCAGAATGTTGGGTGTTATAGCCCAGTTTAATATAAATTTGTTTCCCAAAAGGAATGAACAAAGCTTACAGAGGAAATTAAACATGGTATACGCTCATTTTGATGGCTAGTGTATTGCTAAATGTGTCTAAATCCAAAATGGTTAGATTAACTGCACGTAAAGTGATTATTCAGTTACTAAAGGAATAAGGAATATTAAGGAAACATTCAAAAAACACCAGTAAAAATACATTAAAATAACAGAGAATTCCTCATTGAGTACTGTTGCATCAATCCTACTGGTAGAGCTACCATTTATTATGATGTCATCATAAATTATGTCAATTATTTTGAGGAAAACCCCACTATTTAATCAATGCCACCTGGTAGACTTTTTTGTTTTTAAACAGAGACCACGAAACAAGAATTATGTAATGGTTAGTTACACTCCAAAATAATATTCTGGACAGTATCCACAGCTGAAGATTACTAGCAACAGTCTGAACACTCGTTGTATGAGAGCTCATCCTACCAGGCTATGGCTCAGAAGGGAACTTACTTCATTCGTGGCAGGGAATCGAAGTGGGGCAGAGACCTTCTGCTGTCCATTAACATAGATATACACGAGGCTCTGACCAAAGGGCCTCTTTCCAGGCACGTGAACAATGGTTATGTTGTGCTGGTTAAGCAATAAAAAATTAAGTCATTATTAGGAGCAGTGAAACTACTATATGAAACTATTTAACGTTATCTCTTCTAAGCTGGTGAGGAAAGCACCTAAGAAAATAAATCCAAAGCATCAACAAGAATATAAGAAGAACACCCGCTGATTCTATTTCAAAGTAGTAAATGTAATGTTTATATATAAACAGGTTTTTGAAGAGAAAGATACAGCTCTTTCACAGTAATGCACATAAATTCTTAAGTATAGGACTAGAAAAGGATAAGGCAGAAACAGCACCACAGTTAATGTACTCACATAGCACCAGAGCCATTTATGCCTGTTTTAATTTAATATAAACACCTCTAATGCAGTAACATGCTTAATCAACAAAAATGCCCAATACAATTGCATAAGTTAGCTCAACAACTAATCTATGTGAAATTTGCTTGCATTATTTGAGATTAAAACTCCTCTTATGCAATGAATTACTGCAATATTATAAAACATGCTATTTGTTAAAAGATCCAAAAAACATAATTTTGACTTCTGAGCTAACAATACAATCCCAAACAAAGTGTTTGTCAGTATCAAATCTTACCCAGAGAGAGTCAAAAAAACAATGGTCAGGCAGCATCACTGTTGCATATTCCCTCTTTGTGCACACTGCAACCACCAATACCCCTGAGCACGTAATAAAGGCTTCAAACCCCATACCACTGCCTGTAAAAAAGCTAAAAAAGACACATAATAAAGGAATTGCTTCATCAAAACTACCACCTAACAATACACTCATTAAGAAGAAAATCCACTCAAGTTGTTTGGTGGGAGTGCAATATTTACTATGTGATTGTTACTTCTCTTGTGGAAACCCAGGGCTGGGTTTCCCAAGAAACTGGGAATATTTCTGTGTCTGCTCTGGGGTGTCCTGATCCCCGGGGGAGCACTGACTTTGACCCTCATTCATGGAGAAAACTTCCACAGCCTCAAGGTAAACTAGAAACCACAAATTCTAGTTTCACACAAAAGTGTGAAATAGATTGTAGAGATTGTGGATAGTAGTGTAGTACATCACATGGGTGAGAAATTTAGGTACTGTAGTATGTCAGTGAAAAATTCAGGAAATTTAGTTTTAGATTTTAGGATTTTTAGTATGTTATAGATGGGTTCAAGATGGAGGATATAGGGTGCTGTCTTGAGTTCCTTTCTTCTTATTCCTCTTTCTTCTTGGTTTATGTGGTATCTTGCAATTGGGTAGAAAAATACACACTGTGGGTCTTTAGGGGTCAGTTATTGGGTTAGAAAGGAAAATAATTTAGGTGTCACTTCTTAATTGGATAGTTTAATCTTTGATTAGACTTAAAAGGCCTTGTAACATGAGATTGTTAGGCACTTTTTGTGCTGTTTTTACTGCATGCAGAGTCTGACGCAGACAGTGTGCTGAAGTTTTGATAACATAACAATAAACAGAAGCTGAAGACTGAAAAAGTCCAATGAATCTCTTGTTCCTGACACAGAACTGCTCCAGGAGGATTCCCCTGCCAGGGGAGCCCCCAGGGAGTTACCCAACTTGGGGCCTGCAAACTCACATACTCTTATTTAAAAAAAAAAAAAAAAAAAAAAAAAAGACATTTTGTTTGCTTCTGTTAGTACCTAAAAAGTTAAATTATATCAAGAAGCATTCATGTCAATATGTACTATTTAAGCACCATGAAGTTCCCCTCTCACTTGAGCACTTATACAAATCCAGAGTTCATTACCTTTACCACAAACTGTGTGGAAGCTTGCTCTGGTTTTGGGTGGGAGATGCGAGGGACTGGGTTTTGTTTTTTAATGTTGTTTTGTTTAAGCAATGAACCTTACCACAATTTGTAGTTATGGATGTTGAAACTATAGATGACAAGACATTGCAACAGAGAAACTACACACAAATTCTGTAACAGAACTTGGCTGTGGTGACAGATGAAACTCTTTCTTTCCCAGACAAAGCATTAACTACTGAAGATAAAGAAGAAGATAAGCAGAAGCACCACATGTCATGGGTTACCATATGCCCAGACAGATGGCCCACACCTGCAGGTTGTAGCAGTTACTGTGACTGTACCTGTAGAGTTGCTTCCTCTTGCCGCTTTTGCCCGTCGTGCCGGGGTCCACCCGGTCCTGGTCAAGGCAGAGCCAGGCGTTGAAGGAGAAGGCAGAGCCTGGCCACCTGTGGATGGCGGGCAGGGCGATGCCGGCCATGCTGTGGTGCAGGTTGAAGTACTGCAGGGCGCTGGCCAGGCCCTGCTTCCGCGCCATGGCCAGCAGCGCGCGCATCACCGGCACCACGTACGGGTGAGCGCCCCGCGGCTCCTCCGGCCGCAGCAGCCGCACCAGCTGGAGCAGCTCCTCCGAGCCCATGGACTGGCTCCCCAAGGAGCCCAGCAGGGCAATCAGGTTCTCTGCACAAGTGCAGTGGAGCATGGAGTGGGAATTGAGGGTCTCGATGATACGGATGACCATGTTTGCATTGACACACGTGGCACGGCTCTGTCTGTCAATACAGCAGATTCGCCTCAACCAATTGGAGATGAAAATCTGCAGCTCATGCGATTCTAGCTCTGGAAGCCACTGAATGAGCAGCAATAAGGGCTGGACATTGCTAATGCCTAGTATCCCAACAGCCATGTGGTCACCTTCAACAGCCTGAAAAACAGCAGGGAACTCAAGACATGAAACACAAGAAGACAGGGCCAGAAGTACTGTTGAAAGATGCAAGCATTTCTGCTTCAAAGCAAGCACAGCTCACCATATTCATGAGTTCTTCCAGCAATTCCCGTGACGGCTGACCCAGTGATTTTAGTACCTCATATATGTGTGCATACCCAATTCTCTCCTTGAAGACCTCCTGAGGATAAAAATTCCCATCTCACTAACAAGTAAAATGGACAAAAACTGCTTGTCTACTGCAGCAGGTAGACAAGCAACTTTTATTTTTAATTTAGACAATTTAATGCACTATTAGACACATAATAATTAGAGTTAGTTAATAATTACAGGTTAGAAATCTATTTCTGAGAACCTGTTTATTTCTACTGTCTCTAGAATGCTGCAGATGAGAAGCATTTCACTGTAGCACACAGAAATTAAAGTTCAAAGTTGTATTTTATTATTACCTATAAAGGAATATAACTACTTTGGTATAATCCAAATGTTAATAATATCACAATGAATAAATAGCTTCACTTTCATTTTTTAGTGCAAACTATAGCTTGAAATGCTTACACTGGAAAATAGAACTATTCAAATATTAATCTTTCAGTAAAAGACTTTGCTAGACCAGATTAAAAATCACCTATCCTAAAAACTTAAAATTAGAGAAGTGTTCCTCAGAAATTTTCCTGAAAACAAACTGATTTTACAAGGGAAAAAAAAATCAACCAGCAAAGTTCAAATGGTAGTATCCATGTATGGTTCAATTATTAAACAGCTAATACATCATATGGAATGGATATCATTCTCCTGGCTACAGTCTGTGCTGAAATGATTTTTTTGTTAAAGAATAAATCTTTCAGCAGAAGTGATGTGATTACTTAGGTAAACATGAAAAGAAAAAAATACACATGTTGCAGTAGCAGTACAACTGAAAACTCTGACTCTTTGTGAATCCCAGCTAGGCCCCACCTCCAACACACAACTCTTCCCAGACTTTCCAGAGACAGTGGAGAAATAAACACTTCCAGTAATGCTCTGGAGGAGCATAACAGATCCTGTTGTCTCTCCTTTAGGTTGTACTGCAAGTAGCAAAACAAAAATAAATTATTCTCACTCCTCCTTTATCCTCCACTGTACAGTCACATCCCTTTATCTGTGCCAAGTCAGGGAATCATTCAGCCAAGGGTTGAATTTAATTAACTCAGCAATCCAGGAATAAATATACTGTTTTTCCATGGGCTTAGGTTCCAGTCAGAGTCACAAACTAACCACAACCTATCCATTTACCAAATCACAAGAAGAACTACCAAGGAAGGACACGGGGCAATAGCATGACCACCATCTGGACAGCAATACTGTCTTGGCTTAGTTTAAAGTTATACAAAACTACAACATAAACAGCTACCTGAAAATTCCTGTGAATACCCACTAAGTCTACCCATATATCCATGGGACAAGTAACAATGTACTTTTTTTACAAAGGTTCCAACTGCCATTATACTCAGATCTTCCAGTTTTAGTAGAAAGATGAGAGTGTTCAGCCATTAAGACACATATAAAGGGATAATAAATGCTAATCAGCTATTCCTATCTGGCATGAATGAGTGAGCACAATCTGCCCATCTCCATTAGCAACATCCATCGAGGTATTGTGATAACACTAACTGGAAACAAGATCAAGAAGCTGCAAACAGCCCTCTGCATAGACACTGTTACCTTTGCAGCTGGAGACTTGTGCATTACTGCTGTGAGGGCTTGAATGGTTGATACTGCCAAGGAGTCCAGGTGTCCCTGAAACACCTGAAAGAAGCAGGTACATAAGTCATATACAAACATGCAAAGACAGTTCAGCTCCAAAATCTGTGCTGTGCCCTCCTGCCAGGAGGAAAACCAAGAGTTTGGTAACATGCTTCAAAAATCATCTTCCCATCAGTCAAAATTTCAAACCCCACAGCTTACAAGGAATTACATTACAGCAGACACTTGACCACAGACTTCAAAAGGAGAGAAGCATTCTCAACACAAACTGCACCTCAAATATTCTGATGGACAAACAAGTTTTCCTCATGCGTCTAATGGACAACCTCAAGAGGGAGGGAGGAAAACAATTAGGAAATCTCTTGCAGTGTGTGTGCTGCTGGAAAATAAGCATCTGCGGCTCATATAAAGTGAATTATTCTCTATCCAAAGCACTACAAACTAACACAGCACAGACACATCCCCAAAAGCTAAGAGATAAGTCACACCAGCACAGTTAGGTGGCTGCCTCACCCACAGCCTCATTGTATTGATTCAACACCTCTCTCTCTAATTTAAGTAATCTTTTGAGGTTTCTTGTTTATATTGCTATTTCTATGATGGTTTTAAGAACAAATATGTTGGAGCACTCTTTTGTATCCATCAGTAAACCTAATTAGCAACACTATGCAAACAAACATCTGTTTGTTTCAGAGATGATTTCATCATCTCTGAAATATGATGTACACTTCAGACATATTTTGAAAGGGAAATATCAAGAATCAGAAGACTATTAGATGTGAAGAAACACATGTGGTTAGAGCATTGTGCTGTGTCCAAGTAAGCCAAAGCTATTAGTTAAAAATCAGAATTTGTAAATAACCATCCCCTGTATTCAGCTTTTTTTTTTCTTTTTTACATTTTAAATCAGAACAAATAATTCTACCATAAAATTAATACAAAAATTGGCATTTAACTTTCCACAATATTTGGGAAAAGTGAAGCAACAGGCTATTCCTACCTCCCTGATTCAGCCTGTCCATTGTTTTGTGAACATCTGTTCTTGATGACAAGCAAAGAACCAGGACACCAAACACAACCATTGAGATTCACAAACAAGGCCCCAGAATCCAAAACACCACAGTGCTGAGACAAAGAGCAAAAAAGAGGAAAAGGAGGGAAAAAATAATCATCACCAGGTTGAGAAAATTAATTTGGATCCCATTCATGTGCTTCACCTTTTCCGTAAAAGAAGCATAACTGATGCTCATTCTATTGCCAATATCTGCAGTTTGAAGCTGATGAATAAAACATAGTCTGAATTCAATCTGTTATTCAGAAAAATCATTTTCCAGAGACAGGAAATGCTGATCTGTGCAGCATCAAAAGTTCATCTTGCTGCAGAAGGCTAAAGGAGGATGGTTAAGGTGAAACACAGGAATCAATTTTCCTGTGATTGTGTCTTGACTTCAAATGAAGCAAAATACAGTTTAGGTAGATACCTGGTCCTCATTCATTTCTGTCAGTAATTTGTTGGTAAGGTCTTTCTCACTCTTGTCTGCCACTTTATTGTTAGCATTTAAAAACAGCTGTTAGAAACAGAGACAAGAATAATGGAAATAATTGCATTAAACAGTTACCTGCAGCCAAATCTGTGGAGGCTGCCTTAGATTTGTATTTCACATACAAGAACAAAACAGGAGGGGGAAAAAGGAAAAAAAGCTCTCTCACACTGGTAAGACAATTGTCCATTAGTATTAGTCTTCTGTTAATTCTTAAAATACTGATTATTACATTGTATTTTTGATAAAGAGTAATTACTTTTCCCCCCCCCAAAAAAAAAGTATTCACTGAGACAGGGAGATTTATCTGAATTTGTACTCATCTCTGGCTTAGCAACTGTGATTTCATTCACAATATGCAACACGACAGTTCTAAGAAATTTACTTTTAAGAAATAAACACAAGAGTGGGGCATTAACAAGGAAATGGATACATATGTTTCATTATTTCTCACTTATGTTTCAGCCTAGGTGAAGGCTGAAGATACCTAGATAGAATATTTTCATCTTCAAACAGCACAGAAACAGAATTTCTTGGGTACACAGGCTTTGGGACAGGAAGGGCAAAATATCTCTGCCATCATCCTAAGAATCCGACAAATTGCAAATAGCTTTAAATCAAACATACAGCTATGCCGCATCTTCAGCTAAGAAACTGCTCTGTGCTCAGTAGCTAAATTCCTTGTCAGTATCTGAATTTGACAGTTTCAAACTCACACAAATTCATAATCAATTGCAGTCAATTTGTGTGCCAAATTTAGCTGTAACATAATCAGAACTAAAATTTACATCCTTCTGTTTTAAGATTCTATTGAGGCATTAAAAAAACCCTGACTGAAATGTTTTTAAAGTTCCTTAAAAAAAAAAGAAAAAAATAAATAGCTTCCTTTAGTGGGTAAAACCTAAGCATTTCTTTTCCCCCCCACACACACACATTTTGTTCCATTAACTGCTGGCTTAGTGTCTCTGAAGAGGAACAACCTGAGAAATCGACTTCCATAAATTAGGCCAAAACAAAGGACAACGCTCAATATATTACTTTGACTTACATAGGTGTGAAAGCACATTGTTAGAAACACTTTGAAAGGTACATCACAGTCAAGAGCACTTAACAGTGCAGAGTAACTATAATAAGTCTGAGGGGACTATAACATAAGCAAGAATAAGAACAAGAAAAGCAAATGGAGACAATGATAAAATAAAGAGTTCATCAAACTTTTGGTATGAGTTACTTAATCTCTCATAAGGCATGTGAAAAGGAAAAATATTTCTTTTACAGTGTCTATATGGTTTTACTTTTTCCATTTAAAAGCTGTTCAAAACCCACATTTTTTCTTTTTATCAGACATACTGTTAGAGGTCATTGAGCTTTGCTCAGAGTCTGACCCCTGAGGTAGTTCAATAGATGAGAAAAGATTCAGCACTAACAAACCAGATTGTTAAATGACTCTCAGTACAGAATAAGCACCTCCTGATACCTGTAAATTACAGTCCCTCTTTTTCGGATATCACCGGAAAAAAGCAGCATTCAGATCATCAAAACTTCACCAAGCAGTTTTGAAAAGCTTTTCTCTAACCCTAAAGCATACTTAAGGAAAGACAGTTTGCCCATGAGCCTTAAAACCAGCAAACATGAAGAAAAAAAAAAAAAAAGGATTTATATCTTAGAAGATTGTTATACTGCAAATGACTAGGAAGTATGAGTAGAAACATAGCCTTGAACACCCTAAATTCTTTGGGATATCTATAGCAGAATAGTATGGATTTGCTTTACCCCTCCTTTCCACTGAAATTACTTGCATCTCCATTTTGCAGAAGATGCAACAGCTTCCTGAGTTTCAGGTGTGTGTATGGACTGTCATGCTCTCTGCAGAGATGAAGAATGTGCTCTCCAGACACAGCTTGCTTAGATACCCAGTAGCAATTTTCACAGAATAAGGAATAAAAACCAGAACTAGGATCTCAACCCCCAGCTAATAAGGAGAAATCCTAATTCGACAGCTAACTCAACCTTTGCTAATTGCCTTTGAAAAAGAATGGAGACACAGTATATCTCGAAGTACAAATATACTGCAAAACCTACCCTGCCTCTAACTCTCCCATTTCTCATCTGTGGGGGTACTTTGCCTGTGAAAGACTAAAAAAACACAGTGAGTACCAAACTGGCAGCACTGATCTCTAAACAACACAGTGAGACTGTATCTCTAGAAAAAAACTTAACATATATTGTAACATACAGACAGGCAGAATGAAAATAAAAACAGCAAGCTGCAAGAAAATGTATATCAATCAGCTGTTCCCGCTTTCTTAAATTCCACCACTTGTCTATGAGTGCAGGAACACAGCTAAGAGTCACCATGAAGAAGTAAACATCATGCTGCTGATGATTTTAGAAAAAACTAAAAAAGGAGTTTCTTATACAGTACAAGGTTAGTACAAAAATAGGCAGAGACTCCCAAACACAGAAGAAGAATGGAAAGGTCAAACAATGTATTTTCAGAAGGAGATAATAAAGCTACAGAGTATTCAAAACACTTCAAGTCAGTGGGCATTCTGCCACTGATTATAATTACAATTAGGACATAATCCAAACACATTTAATTTTAATACATCATTGCACTGAAATACATTCTTATCCAAAATCTAAATGGATTAGAAACAAATTGCACAGTGTAGTAAGCATTAAATTATCTTTCATCAGAAGAGCTAGCTAGTTAGCTTTGTCACTAACATATCACATATTACACTAACATATCACAAAAAGAAATAGTGCAGAGAGTTACATCATATCTGTGTTCTTTCACACAGGGAAAAATAAAATCAGTGCAATCAGTGGAAGTTTGCAAATTATGATCATCTACAGCTGAGACAAAGACACTAGATCCTATGTAGAAAAGGAAAAATTGAACATTTTTAACAGCTTGAGCTCATGTTTTATGTCAGCCACACACAGGACTCAAATATTTTGAAAGAATTAAAATGGGACAGCAGAAATATTTTTTTAATGGAAAAATATTCCTCTGAAATTAGAATTCAGACCTCCATCTGGCAGCAGCTAAGTGACTTTCTAATAATCCAGTGATAGAATATAAGTGAAACAAAGCAAAATAACCAAACCCCACAACAAAAAGCCAAATAAAAAGGCAGGTGGGATTGATTTCTGTAATCAACATACTGTTAGAGGTCATTGAGCTTAGCTCCAAGTCTGACATCTGAGAGATTTTAATAGGTAGGAAAAGATTCAGCAGTGATTCAAAGATACAGCATCATAACAGATTTTAGAGACTGAGCAGGGTCTATAAAGGTATTTTGCTCAGGACTGAAAGTATTCATTGCTTTAACCACCAGACAGATATGAGACACCCCTACTCCATTAGTAATAACACAAGCCAGGGTTTGTTAAATATATGCTGATAAGGGAAAACTTACCTTGCAGTTTTGCAACAGTCGAATGAGATGCTCAAAGCAGTTACTATTAAGGAAAATTGCCTGCAGAACAGGCCTATCTGTGCAGTCTAACATGGCTGTGATGGTATCTATAAAATTAAAACAGAACTGCCATTAAAGACAAAACATCCCACATCCATCAAGCATTTTTACCTGCACATTCCATAGTACACATCAGGAAAAAATTATACAAATTATATTATCTGCACTCTTGATCAAGAATGATACGCATGTTAAGAACAAATCACTAGGCCTAAAGCTAAACATTTTGACACTGTAAAGACTACCATAGACTACTATTATAGAGAATTTTCACCTAATGAATAGCTTTGATTGCTGTGGGGCTCTGATTCAAGTAATTTCCAATTGTGAGTACATAAGTAGCATCACCTTCTTTTTACAGGACATGAACACTTCCTTCCTCAACACGCAATTACTCTGCATTCTACAGCAGCCTTGTACTGTAAGCATTCTCCATGGCCACAGTACTATTCCTCAGTTTTCTTGGAAGTATGGGAAAAGAAACACTTATTTCCCACACTGAACATCAAAATGGAAAAAACTCAAACCCCTGAATTCTAACCCAAAAACTTATACCCAACCTTTTCAGATTATTACTTCTGGCCAATGTTTATAACAATACCATTTGAAAATCAAACTATCACAAAACAGCACCACACAGCAGTTTTATTACAGAACAGTTTTATTCTGCAATTATGAAGGTTTCACTTCTTGCCTAGCCAAGTTTTTCTCTTTTAATGGAGGCTTTCAGTCTATGAACCCTGACACTTTGGTTAAATGGTAGCAATCTGATATGGCTTCTTCTATTTTTTTCATTAGTAAATGATTAAAAAAGAAATATTCAAGAAGAAATGTTAGAAATGTTTCAATTGCTTAGCCAAGTCAGTATTTTTTGCTTCAGAGTTATTGTCAAGAAATATTGAAAGGACTTGTGTACTCACTCAGCATTCGGATCTGCAGTGCTATGAATCTGCTCTCCCACTGCCTGCATCGCCTTGGATTAGGTAAGGCTGAATGGTCTGAATTAAGCAGCTTGAAGTAGTTCTCCAATATTGTACTTGTCTCGACCTGGCGCTGGTCAGAACTGCTGGTTAGGAGGATATGGACAACTTCTGTCAGGCACTTCAGAGTCAGCTCTGCCTTCCTGCTCACTTCCTCAGGGTTTCTGTCATCCCAGTTGTCACAGTCTGCTAAAACACGCATCAAGACTTCCATGGTGGCAGGAGATACTGCTTGAAGAGCATTCCTCTGAAATCCATTAAGGCAAAAAAATTATTAAGAAAAAATAAATTTAGAAGAATTTAAACCTCTTCAGACCAGCTGCGTCTACTTGCGTTATCTGAACAATGCAATATGCATTACTCTACACTAATACTGCATAGTTGTTAAATAACTAAGAAACAATCTATTTGGATTATGCTGATGGCTACAGATGAAATGCATCCCATCTTGTTCACCAAATAGACTCTTTTTCAAAGGGAATACTTACAGAGAAAAGGAAATATAATTTAAATATGTATTATAAAATTCTTATAAGGTAGCCCTGATAAACTGCTAATTTGAGACAAACCTTCACCTGAGTTTTCATTTTAGATTATGAGATTCATGATACTTTAGAACATGTGGTAGAGAACATAATCATCAGCAAACGTTTGCCTGGGCCCTGAATGAATTTTCCTCACCTTTCTTCCTGGGCACCTGACTGGCTAGGCTCAGGGACAGGAGCCCAGGCTTGTGGTGAGCTTAGAGAAGCCCTGTCAGGGATTCCATACCCTCTGTAGGGAGCTGTATCCATGTTTTGGCTCTCAACCCTTTACCTGTTTGATCTACACTGCAGCCATGGCCATGCCTGGCCATGTCATGTCGTGAACTACTGACCTGACTGCAGTTTGACCTTACCCCTGCCTCATGGCTATGGATGGGGCTGGCAACCACTGGCCTCTTGACTGACTCCAGTTACCACCAATACAGCAATCCCTTACGCTGATGCGCCCACCAGACTTCCTGGCTTGACTTTAGACTTTATCACTACAGACTTGTCTAGTGGGCTGGGCTGGCCCATCCTGGCTCCAGCCAGCACAGCTGCTCCCACCACTGTCTGGGTGCAGTGAGATCACACCCTTTGCTGGTCAGGTCAGCTGCTGCGGCCCATCCTGCTCAGACTCCACTCGCCTTCCATGATGGAGCAGAGCTTGGCTTTGCAGCTTCCTGGCAAACTTTAAAAATACTCTCTTCGAGATTATCAGAAGTAGCAGCTGCTTGTGACCAGACTAAGTAGGACTTTACAGAAGTCAGGAGAGAAAGTGGATGTTGACTTTGCTGCTGATGAATACCCTCATTTCCACACGTTCTTTCAAACACTTTTAACAGCTTCCAAGCTGTAAAAGCCTTCCGCCTCCTACTGAAAACAGCTTACTTTTAGCACTGGGAAGTAAGCTAGATCAGTTTCATGCACATGAACATGAAAATTCCATCTTTGCAGGCAGAAATTCCTAATCTAGTTATGCACATTTTTTTCTTTAAAATATTACAGTAAGTTCATATGAACATGTAGTTGTTCTAAACAGCAAGCTTCTACGGTTACTTGAAATTGGGATCCAGCTTTTAGAATTTAGCTATTATTGCCCAGAATGATGCCAAAGTTCCTAAGACAAAAATAAGTAATCATGGATAATAAATTCTTCTCATTTACAAGTTATGGAGTTTTTAAAAGTCCTAACAAGGAACAAGCATCTGGAGGTTTCAGTAGCTGAAAAGTTCAGAGTATCCTTACCTGACCACCAGCCACAATTGCTCCAAAGAGATGCAACAGGCAACATTTTAGGCTTTCCTTGAGATGTTCACTTTCTTGAAAGCATTCTGATTAAATAAAAAGGAGATTTTTATCAAAAAAAAACCCACCAACAAAAAATAAAAAACCCTCCTCTATTTCCTGTCATCATACAAATTAAAAAAAAAACAAATCAACTGTATCATCTCCATTTGGTTTTATATAACTCAGACAAACACACCAATTCCAGCATTATCAAAGTAACACATTACCACATTTATCAGGAATTCACGGGCCACACCTTCAGCTTGCATAAACTTCCCATGCCAGCTGACAGAACTACAGACACACAACTTTTGCTCTTGATTCACAATGTAAAAATGAGCCCATTTTGTCCAAACAAGTGAGAAAGAGAAGGACGTTCTAACACACAATCAGTTACCAAGCACAACAAAGTTCTGAGAAATTTTGGCATGAAAAGTCTGATGCCATATGCAGTGCAGGTAGCTCAAAAAAAAAAGTCCCTGAGCTTGCTGACTTTAAGGCAGATTACCAGAGAATCCTGTGCAGATCTGTAATCTTTCTAGCAGTAATTTCTTTAATGACAACTATCCTGCATCTCTTCTCTTGCCACAGCTGATAGAAATTAGTCCCAGACAGCCTCAGCAGCTCTTCTTAGCAATAGATATAACCTGGATATTGTTGCTACAGCAATAATGCTAGACCTAACACAGCAGCAAGAAACTACGAAGAATTATTTTTGGAAATGCCACTTATTGGTGAGTAAGAGTTCTGACTATATTCTAAAGCCTAAGTCTGTTTTAAAAGATTGCAGAGCTATTTTTCCAATCTGTTCTCCAAACAGAACAAAGCTTACTTAGATGATCATACAGTTAGGGAGCTAGTACCACCACTCCTTGACTTACAGCCTCTGGATCTTTGTAGAACTTCAGACAAATTGAAAAGAGCAATACCTAGCAGATTGTGAATTAATCATTAGGCTAGGTAGACTAAAACCACCCCCCCTTAAATTTGTCCTGGCATGGCAGGATGCTTAAGGCACACGCTCAGCAATTTCTTACTCTGTCCTTTCTGCCAGCTGGCCAACAAGCAGAAGAGTATCTGTTGGCTAATTAGCACACTTTTAGCTCAGTCACATTATATCGTATTTAAGAGACTTGGAGGAACCACAGGGCACTGAATGGAGAGGAGAGAACCTACAGATGACATTCCTCAGTAGCAGCCTTTAGAGTGGGTTTCCCATGCTCTGGCACCTAGATAAGGGCATTTTACTGGTAGCAACGATTCGGTCTTTTTGGGAACTACCCTATTTTTTGTATGCAGCAATGGAATCTCAAGGAACAGGAGCTGTGACTCAAACCTAGAAAAATCAAATTCATAAATGCTCCTACTCCAATGAATTGAATTTTTTTTTTTTTCAGTTAAAACTAAGTTAATGGATAGCTGCAAAATGGGCTGATTTCACTCCTTCGCTGCCCATCCCTCCAGCTTGTTCCTGCTGCTTCAATCCTGTAGGCACTAACACTTTGGTATGCTAAACTGGCATAAACTACCTGGGCATCCTACATTCTTGAGATTTAAGTATAGAATATGGACATGTAAGTTCTTCCACACAATCTGTGATCGTAAGAACACATGAATTCCAAAGCAGCCAGCATGATATTTAATGACTTAACCAGAGAGAAAATTGTTTCCCAAACTCGAGGCCAAGGATCATTTGCTAGTTGAATGGCACAGTTTCATTTTTTCTAGCTGTTAAATCATATTAAAGAGACAGACATGCATGAACACTCCCCTGAGATTATTTTTCCATGACAGTTATCAGCACAGTTACTAGAAGCATCTCATGTGCAATCACTATGTACCACAATAAAAAGAAAAGCTGTCAATTCACAGAACCAACCCTACTAAACCACATTTAGGCACTGAAATAAGTCTAGAAATAAAGAAAAATGCATTCAGAGATGAGCAGGAATAACAAAACAGTGATGGTCTAGAGCAAAGAACAAGTACAAAAAACAACCAACCAAAGTAACCCACTACACCCAGTCTCAGAAAGCAAGTAAAGGACTTGTACATTATCAGGCATGCTTAGGAGAAAGTTACTTGGGCTCACTCAGTTCATTCCTCTACAGAAAACTATTTTTTAACAGGCTGTTAAGTAATACTCACGGTAAAAAAAAGGGACAAACTCAACAGTGAGGGAAGCTGGTTTATACTTCTGTCTGCTTCTTTCAACTGTACTAAGGAACCGTCTGCAATTACATTAAAAACCATACACCAAAGAAATCAGACATGATACCTTTGTATATTACTTATTAATTTATTACTTATAATATGAATTTATCATATGACATAGTAGAAAATGCTGCCATAAATCAGGAGTTATCTTTTGCCGACAGGATGAAAAAGAATAGTGAAGTAGTATTTCATCCTGAAGACATGAATGACAGCTAATCCCGTATTCAGTACACATTTAAAAATACTTAACATTTTACAAAATGGTTTAGTTAAAAAAAATAAAATAGAAGAAACAGCATTCTCTTCTTTAATCCATACTTATTGTAACTAAGCCACCAGCTAGAATGCTGAATTTCTTGACCAAGCCATTTTAAATGGACAGAAAACATTATTATGAGTTCATTAGGCTGGTGAGAATGCACAATAAAATTAAAGGGATGTAATTCTACTGATACACTTATAAATTATTTTCAAAGATGCAAGTTATCTACACTGTGAACTTCAATAACTTCTTTTGCCCTAATTCAAGCAGGTCTGCCCACTACATTCCTTTTGACTTCTTTGTTTCACTAGCTTATAAAGATGGTCAGTTTTGGAAGGAGAGCATAATGTAAGCACCTTCGTGGTGAACAGTTACAACCAATCACCTCTTCATATATCCTCAAATTTAATTATGTTTTACCTTTTATATTAACAGTAAAAATATTATAATTTTTGAAAGTTATTTAAATCATATCCAGTTTGAGAAAGCATAACACGTTTCTATGGTGTGATTCCATTCATGGTTAAAGCTCTCATAAACCACAGAATTTACAATCCTGTACTGGTCCACACATACCCTGCAATTCGCTGCCTCCAGTTTCGATATGGATCATACAGACTTTCACAGAAAGCCAATGCATGTCTCACAAATTCTTCTATGGAGGTCTGATCCTCCACTTCTTTCTCTTTTGTTTTGCTTTTTAACTGAGGAGAAAAAGAAAGCTATGGTCAGAAAATTTCCGGAAGTTGAAAATTAATCAGACCTCCCCCAGAACAATTCTGAGACGATGAATTGCTCCCCACATAACAGTATTACTGAAAGAGCAGATCATATAAAAAGGAGCAGGAGGTGTCAGATGGCAGAAATACAGACAAGAATTATTAACCACGTACCTGTTGAATGTACAACGTAGTCATGGTGATAACATGGTTAATGTATGAACACATCCCAATCTCTTCCACATTAGCCAAATTCCTGCAAAGACAACATAAAAACCACAGATTGAACACAGTGTACTATTTGAAGCTAGTTCAAACAATGTTTGTTTTAGCATTCTGTGTATATTCATACAAAAGGATACCAGCATTTCAAAAATACTCTCCAAAAGACTGCTCATACTTAAATGTTTATTTCCATCACCATTACAGAGCTCACAAGTTTTCATCTAACAGGAAGAAAGATTCAAGTCACTCTGCTACAGGCCAATTCCATCTGGAATTTGGGGTTTCAGAGGTTAAGCAGATTCCCAGGACACCCTAAATAGAAAGCTCAGAAATGGCATCTGATTACAAAGACAATAATTTCCACTTACTAGTACACACACTTTCTAAAACTTTAGGAACCTAGAAACATTTACTCACTTTAAATTCTCTGGAGCAAAACAAACACTAATAAATTATTTTAGAAAATAAAGCAACAAAGAATTTCTCAGTTTTGAAAATACAAAGATCAGATATCAAAGTGATGACATAGGAGAACGTTTCAGCAATTAAAGGTGACACCAGTTTTCAGAAACACATTACTACCATCCAGTCGGCTTATATTCAATATTCCAGGGTATTTAAACACTGCCATACAGCTCTTCGTACAGTTTCAGAGGTAAGGTGAAACAAAGCATTCAAAAATACTGCTTCAAACACTCCTCAGTAAAGGAGATTCTCTATTATATTTTATCCCCTTCCTCTCTCTAACAGTATTTTGCAACAGCAAACTAAAGAAATAGTGAGGAATAGATCCCTAAAAACAGTTTATCCATTTGTGTCAACAAAATTACACTATCAAGCAGAAGTTTCAGAAGGAAATCAGCTGCATGAGTAGTGTAATAATAAGTTTCACAAGCTGTTTATGGAATTATAAGCATGTTAAGAATGTGAAACAGTTCTTCCTGTACAATTCTCTCAAGCTATTTCATAGCTAACAGTTGTCAGAGTGCACCTTTTTTTTAAAAGTATTTCTTATACGAGGTACATCATATCTTGACTTCCCATAGATTTATCTTCTACAGCCACAAAGAATTTAGTATTTAAACCCCTTCTATTTCTATTGCAAACATTATTGCTAAGATGACTGCACTGTTCCCCTCTCTTTTATTCCCTCTGCTTTTATTCTGAAGATTGTGAGAAGTGTTATTTCTCTGTATCTACTGGAAGGTATCAAATCACTCATAATATGTGTCATTAAAACCTGTATCTATAGGCTGCATCAAGATTTCTTAAACAAAACAACAGCCTTGCTGAGGTAACTATTAGAACAAATACCTGCAAAGGATGATAAAGAATTTCACCAGTAAAAGTGACAGAGTCTGCTGCTGCTCTTCCAGGCCATCTGACATTTTCTGGACACACTGTAGCAACTGGAGCCTGAGGACCTGAAGAATGTTATCAGGAAGCAGCGATATTCCTGGCGGAATGTCGTCCACCCTAATGAAAAAAGCCAGACACCAAATTGTTAATCATACAAATGCCAAGCTGCCAATTGATTTCCATGTACTCATGCAGTGTTCCAGTAAGTTCTGTGGGTAAGGTCACCCAACTGACACATCACACTTTCTAATGAGGCACAAGGAAATGTCTGGTGGCTATACACCAGCTTGAGCTTTCTTTGCCCCAGCAATGAACTACATTAAAAAAAAAAAAAGGTGTTAAAATCCATTAAATGGCTTTCTAAATCCTCCTCCATACAATGATCTACCATAATTGCCACAAAGAAATCATAATCTTCATCAGGTAAAAAGGTGGCCTGGGAAATACCCAGGGACAGCCACAGTGGAATGGAACATAAGAACAAAACATATTTGGAAGAACATTTTCAACTTTCTACTGAAGATTAAGAGTGTCCAAGTAAATGAGATGCCAATTATTGCATAGTTATTGAAGCCCACTTGGTATTCATCCACAGTGAACCTCATGTCTTTCTTACATAAATTTCAAAAAGCAATACAAAATTATCTTTTGCCTATTGTTTTCTGCAAACTAAAATATTTTTAGAAGCATACCAGTGAGAACCAAGACATGAAGAAAAGAAGGGGCTTATTTGTGATTTAATTTTTTTTCCCAGTGATCCAAAAGCAAATAAGAAAATTACCCAGGAACAACCATAAAGAAATCCATTTCAGTAACAGTATAGAAATCTAAAGATCTGTAAGAACATTTTTTGAGATAAGAACTGTTTATCCACTGTTGCACATGCTAAACACAGTTAGTCTTCGGCAGCAGCTGTTTACCCTGACACATCCTCTATGAACTCTACATAGGAAAAGGAAGACACAAGCAAGAGCATTTACAGCTTACAAAAGCCCTCTCAACACAGCCAAAGCCAGAGGAAAGTTATAACAAAAAAAATCAGCAAGCTCAAACCCTCACCTAATATGACTGCTGCATACATTGCATTTATGCAATGAGAAAAACCACAAAAAAGATGTGTAGAAATGCAGTGACTACCCCTATACAGCATGATCTCTATTATTTGAGGAAAATGGGGAACAATCCACTGTTTAGCTTCTAATGTTGAAAAGGAAGCCTTTAGAGGAGGGAAAATCAGAGACTCAGCTTAGTAAAACACCTAGACATGTGTAAGTGACAGAAAGCTCCCATATCCAAGAAATGTTACCTACACTTACACAGACAACCACCTACTTCATTCCCTTGCCTCTTCACACAGTTGTGCAATTTGCTTTTCAGATTGGGGAATTCAGAATCTCAAGGGATTCAGAGCATTGTAACACAAATTTTATAGCCTAGACTCTAAACTGATAGCTACACTAACCACAAAACTGAGAGCAACTGCTTTTTTCTTTTTTTTCAACACAAATGGCAAGAAAAAAATTTTAATTTCTGTGATAGCAGCTTCACCCCTCAAGATGCTGGCAGATCCACCCTCTCTGGAACTACAAGCATGGTTTCTCATAATCTGGTAATTCAGATTCCATATTTCAGATTCTGATAATTCCCCCTCAGTATTAGGAAAACTGTAATTTTTGACAGTTGAAATCATATCTCCAGAAGTTAATTCCCTAAAATGGCCAACAAGTCTTTTTCAGTAAGATCATGAAATGCTTTACAAGAGAGCAAATAGCATACCCTTCATGCCTCACATCCCAAAGAATGTTTTCTTTGCAGTAGCTGCCTGTGTTGCATGACCCATGAGAATTTGGGAGACATGTGTGAGATGTGTGAGGCATGAGAAATCCTAACTGGTATTACACAAAATTAATATACTATAGAGTATATAAATAAATGTAAATAAATCCAAACAATCAAGCTTGTTTTCACCCCAGACCAAATTACTACTATACCACCAAGAAACCTTAAATTTAAAATGAGGATGTAAATTTGTTGACATGTAGTACCAATTTTTCCCAGACTCCCTGTTTAAAGTAAATACTCCAAAAGGAAGGAAAATTTAATATAAAAAACATCCCCTATCTGACATTGTTACTTGACTGCTGGTGCCCTACCTCAAAAATACAAGAAAGAACTTGACACATTTGGGATCTTTTTATTTATCATTTCCTTCATGATGTTAACATAGTTATGCAGCCATAGAAACTATGTCAGGGGTCTGAAAGGGAACTGAACCACCTGTACACTGTAGGCACCTATTCCACCTCAAACACACCCTGGGACCTCTCCTGCACCAGTGGTAAGCACTTGGAAACAAACTGCTGCAGCAAACCAGGTTTTACTTTTCAACAACCATCATGCAATCACACAAACAATGTTTTTGTGATTGCATGGTTGTTGTTGAAACACCTATCATGTTTTTGTTTTCTGCATCATTTCTATGTGTGTTTGAAGTCAGGAAGTTAATAAAATACAGTTTCTATGGGACCTTGCGTAACTTACTTTAAGCTCCTTTGCTCAAGATCATGCAAACCAAAAGCAGAAAAAAAAGGATGACAACACTCCGGAGGCCTTTGTTATTTTTAAAAGTATTGAATCAAATGACAATTCCTCTCCAATGAGCAGAAAAAATCCTCACACCAGCTAGTAAAGGTTTCATCCTTTTTATGGTAAATACATATGATATGGATACATGTTTTGAGGGAAATTAGACAAGTGTGATGGTATTTTGTGCTCAATGATCAAACCATCTGCTATAGTCACCTTTTCAGCAAAATCATTAATAACATCATCAATGAGCCATTTCATACAGAGTAGAGACACAAAGATAGGGGTGAACTGAAGCTGTATAAGCCTATAAGCTGCATAACTGTATAAGCTCTACTTACACAGTCAAATTATACTGGGTACACTCACACACTATATTTAGAGATTTTCTAATTCTGTACTGCTTAGCATCTTTCACATTTCCAAAGCAGACTTGAGGAAATTAGATATTCTAATTTATAGGAAAAAAAACCCCACAAAACAATATGAGTTAAATCAGCAAGTGACAGTGCAAATTAAGAGTCCTTGTTTCAGGAAGTAAAAAAAAACAAAACAAAAAAAAAAAAAAAAAAAAAAAACAACAACAAAAAAAAAACAAACAAAAAAAAACCCCAAAAAAAACCCCCACCAAACAAAAAAAACAAACCCCAAAACCAAACCTGTAATAGAATCTTTACATTTCTTAACTGGTAGTTTCTTAGATGCTAAAAATCCCCTCATATGTTTTAGACTGACACAAAATTTCATGCCCGTCTTCCAAAAAGTTAGTCGTGTCCAGCAATCTGTACAAGCCTAAACAGTTTCTTATTATTTCCTGGCATTAGCCCTCATTAGCCCTGAAAGACACAAGGTCTCTCAGGCATATAGCTGTAAAACACACCAAGATTTATAGAAGGATTAAAAAAGAAAACAATATTGGTGCAGTCAGTTTCTCCTTCTCCTTTTAGCTAGCATCATACATTTTTAAGACCAATAGACAGAATTAGATGTCTTATAAGGAATTCAGTTTAAAAAAAAAAAAAAAAAATTAAGTGAGTCCACAGGGTCCTGTAGCCCCTGGAGTCACTGGAAATCAGCATTTGGCAGTTCCACACTGACCTACTTTTTTTTTTTCATGGGCCCAGTAATACTGTTTTTACAATATAAAGGCCTGCAAGGCAAATTGACAAAGCCCAAAAAGGTGCCACATGCCTGATTATATCACAAATGCATGTATGGGCAGAAACTGCAATTCTTTGTTAATTCTAGTATCTGATTGCCATGGGTTTTCTTATTGTAGACATAAAAGCACAGTAATAACCTGCCTTCATCCCTGTGTTGTTCTGATGCTTGTTCTTTACATCTGTTACACAAAAGAGTCCAAATCCACATGGTTCTATTCCTCCAGACTAAATCACTAATCCTGTCATTAAGCTCAGAAAAACACACAATATTTTTACACTCACTAAAGTCACCACTTATCACAATGAAGATGCTACTGTTCCACATAACTAAGCTCTCTGTTGCTGAAAAAAACCAACATGAAAACCATGAACACATACACTAAAAAACACTTAGAGTACAAATAAATATTAAAAACTTAAAATCAAAGCACCAAGAGATTCCTCTTCCGGTGTTCATACTTCAATACTAAATAGTATGTTAAAGATAACCTGTGTCAAATGACAAACTTTTCTCCTTAACTGAACATATTAAGACACATTTTTGACACTACAAAGGAATAAATTTTCAAAAAGAGCACAAATAGCTTGAAGGTCTTCTTACTGATAATAGCACTATATATTTTGCACTCATATAGGCATTATGAGGAAAAGTTTAATACAAAGAGCAGGGAAGTCTAGGTTTTATCTGCTGAGATCCAGTTGCAGCATTCTTCATTTCCTTGTAACAGTTGAGGCTATCACTTGCACTTCAAACAGGATCTGATCCAAAGCCCATTAAAGAATTTCCATTGATTTCAACAGGGCTTGGAATGCAGCCATCATGCAAGGAGCACCATTCTGTACTTTCAAACACCATTGGTGGTATCAGCTATAATACTGACACTAGCTCTCATGAAGTCTGAATCCTTTAACATTTAGTTTTTCTTAAAATCCCTAGTTTATCCAAGCAAGAGAAAACATCCAATGCCTAAGTTTTTACTCCTCATTTTCAAAGTTAGACATGAAAACACAATCATGATAACACAGCATACAAATTTAAAATACTAAATATGGAATTCTGAAATTAGGCTCCAATAGACCCTCGTGATTTTAAATGGGAGCTTTTGGTCAGCAACATGAGGGAAGTCAGCAATATTCCTACCCTGAAGTCTTCATGGATGCAAGGAAATCACTCTCAAGTCTATCACTGGGGCATATATTAATTTTTAAATGTTTTCAGCTAAGATACCCAAATATTTCATTGAGAATTTCATTCACCCTTAATCTTAAAGCAAACTCTGAAATAAAATTACAAATTCTTTACCTACATCTTGCTTCTCTTCTGTCACTGCTGATGCAGGTAGTAAACACTACTATCTGTGTTCCCTATCAAAAGAATTATGAGGAACACAAGGAATAACAATTATATTTCTATGAGTAAGAACAAGAAGTACTCATGCCAATTTCCTAATACAATTCAAATACCAGTATTTGCCTAGTTTCATCATTCCCAGCCCAAACTGACCTTCAAATAAATGGGAGTGCCACTTGACAACTAAAAAACTTACTTTTGTCTAAAGGCAGTACTGCCATTGAACAGGACAGGGTTCTCAGCCATGTCTGTTTCAGATATCAGGAAAAATGAACAGGTCTGTAATTCTACATACCTTGTTGGCAGCTTCTCAAAGTCCACATCCAGAAACTGTTCATAGCTAGACACAAAACTATCCAACCAGAGCTTCAGGTAATCTGGATCTTTCTGTAAAAAGGAAGAAAAGGAAGAGAACATTGGCCACTATTGCACTCAAGGTCATCTATCAACAACTCTGTAGTACTGCCTCAAATAAAAAGTTTCTATTTAATGCATTTCAACTGGGAGAAAAGAGGGAATACACATTTTTTAGAACCAAAAGAAAAAACAACCACCTGGGTACTTTAAAATTTTCAGCCACATTATGCTGATGGGACATTTTTGCTCTATTAATTAGTTTATGCATCTCCTCTTAGCACCAGTGTCAACCTAAGCATTTTAGCTTTTCCCCTCATAAACAATCTTAACTTATTCTCCAGAGTCATCCATACCAACTTTACAAACATACTAGAATGTGTTCTAGTCTTGATACCATAGATACTAGTACACAACACTCCTTATGGCTCATAAAATTAAATAAGAACAGCAATTCTAATCACAATTATTGCCTTTTTGCTTCACTCATAGGTCAATACGGCAGATAACAGCAGATTAGAGACAGATGGTGTTCAGAAAGACAATGTAGAAACTATGACTTGCCTATTAGATAGCTATTAAATAGATAGAAAATTATATTTAAGCTTCCTAGTTGTTCCTATTAGAGCACAAAGATTCTGTTTGCGACCAGCAGTCCCTCAGGGCTAGACACTGTCCCAGGAACTTGGGCAGATACTAAACCACTGCAAACTACACAGGGAAATTCTGTCAAAATATGCATTTGAGGTAGTCTTACTTTAGAAGTCAAGCTGTTTAGTTTTTAAAAACATGTTGCCAGCCTATAGCTAACATATTCCCCTGCCAGGACTGTGCAATCTTGTCCATTAACACACATGCACATAGACCCACATTCTACACCACAAATAATTTTCAAAACAGTTTTAAAATTTTTGCCAGAAGTATTTGGGATAAAAATGATTTTTGAATCCACTCCATTATTTATAACATTTTGCAGAAGTTGAAAAACTTCTTTATCCTTTTCCCTTTTCTGTATCTCCTTCCTTTTTTTTTGTTGCTTTTATATTACCACAGATGTTCCCAAATAGGATAATGTTTCCCTGCAGAGTTAAGATTAAAGAGCAAATAGTGAGTATGTCTAACACACACACTCTTTTGCAGCAACGTCAGCCCAAAAGAGAGAGTCACAAAGAAAGACTGACAGAGTCCTGTCAGTGTAAATAGCTACTTACGAGCCCTCCACACAGGGAAAAAAATAAATCAAACAAAAAGTTTAAAAAACCACACAACAAAACAAACAATGACAGAATAAAATAAAGTCATAAATCCAGAACCTCAAGTGGTGCAAAGCTCTTCTGAGAGCATATTTCCACAGCAAGTACAGGAATTATAAAGCATGGGAACCCCCTCCTCATTCTAGACTTTACCCTTCTCTGTGTCCCCAAAAACCACCCTCAACACAAGCAAGAAGTGTCAGAAACATCCAGACACAATTTACTTCACTATCACTATTAATTATATATAGAATGTGTTCAGGTACTGTGACAACAGGTGCCAAATAAAACCCTCAGCTAGATACATTTCTTACCTGATTATTTGCTTCTGCCGACTTTACAGCATTTTCTTACTCACTTTTCCTAATTGTCTTATTTTCCCTTCTTTGGCTTACTTCCTAATCTCTCCCTCCTTCATCATATTTCTTCTCCTTATCTCTGCTTTTATTCACTTTTCAATTATTTAAGTAATCATTCCCTTTTTCTGTTAAAATTTTGTCAAAACAGCAGTAAGTTCTGAAAGTGTAATGTAGCCTTGTTCTCATGTTTAATATGCACTGAACTACCAAACTTCTCTTAAACACACCTGCCAATTGTCCTCAACATGGAATTGCAAAACACAGAATGAAGGAAGCAGTTGAGATAAAGAATAATTTCAAGATTTCCAAGCTGCTTGTTTAAACTACAGATGTTGTCAGATTATCACAAGTAGGTGAGTATAAAATACACATTTCTCAGGTTCAGACATCAAACATATTAAAAATCAACCCAAAAGTTAGACAAGAAGTAAGACTTGCCTAAAAGAATGATTCAGAAGTAGTAGAAGATGCCGTCTTCAGACAGCCCAGCTTTTCAAAAATGTTCACATGTTTAAAGCTTTAACTTTCTTGTATTTCACAGCAAGTAATTTTAGCTGCAAGCAAACTATATCACAGGATCATAAAGACAAAGGAAACCAGGATACCATTTTAGTAATTACAACAGAGCTCAGGCCACAAAGGACAACGCAACTACAGGGAATAATGAACAGAAATGTTGCCACATCCATTATAATCCTCTGATTATAATGGCCATATATACATGTGCAAAAACTGAACTTAAGAGAGTTTTTCCCCGTTGAACAAACTGCTTCTTCATTGGCATGAGAAACTTCTTGAAATTCAACAAGAATTACTAGATTGATTCTATTCATATTCCCAAATTAAAATTGTTGACAGAGCTCAGGCTCATTCCTAATTGCTGACAGTAAACTTCTGCAAAAACCCTGTTTCTCTTGGTTACCATGAAAGAAGATGTGCAAATTACATTATCAGACTTAAAATTGCTTTAACAAAAGTCAAGGATGAGAAAAGGGGAAAGGTAGGGCAAAAGACAAAATTACATTAAATGCCTGCTTGCTCCTTTTTAATGATACAGCTTAAATGAGTTTCAAGCTTCTTTATCTTTGAACTCCAATGCCTTTGCAAAGCTATCAGTACAGACTGGGAATAACACAACACTGGCAGACAAAATATGCAAGAAATAGCACTTATACAGATGGCAAGAGTAAACCACATGTTATGAAACAGCCAGAAGTTTTTGCCAACCTGTAGAGCACATACTGCTCAATTTGCTTTGCCACTAGAACTCCTCCTACTCCTGATAAAAACTAAGAATTGCTGTACTGTTTGATCATTCCCTGCAGCACACTATTCAGCCCAACTCCCATCTCAGTCCCCTGCCAATTAATAATGTAATATTCCAAGTTTTTAAAATAATCAGATTTTATGTCAAAATAACAGGTAGCACTACCAGTATGTGCCAGTAGAAAACAGTTTATGTAATACCTGACTCAAGAGTCAAATCTAGAGATTTCCATCCAAGCAACATCACCAACTCAAACCACTCGGACAAATTAAAAAAAAAAAATAAATCATGAAGGCAAAAAAGTAAACTAGATCACTTAGCAACATGAGAAACACCAAGAAATGGATCTCCATTATACACCAGCTAACAGAGGCATGCCTCCTTTCCAGAAACAAACAAAACTGAAGACTTGTGAAGTAGAAGTTCATTCCAGGAAAAAGTGACAAAATATTTAGCAAATGGGCTACAATTAAGATCTTTCATTACAATAATGTTAGCAACAGAAGCTATGAACAGCTTTCAAACTTCAAATCTGGCCCAAGTTTTCTTTTTTCTTTATTAGCAGCATTCATTCCAGATCCTAGGCACCAGACTCCTGTTGAAAGCTCCAAGAAAATCTAGATTTTATTGAAGCAGTTTTAGGAAATGAAACTGAAAATGGTAAATGTTACCCATCTCAAAGTATATATAAATGTCCTAAAACACACCTAAATATATACAAACTTCCTGAAGACCTGCCTATGTGAGTCAGATTTATCTTGCATTCTTCCAAACCAAAGGCATCATAGTTTAGGAGAAACGGAGTCTCCTACAGTGGTTTAATATTCCAAGTTCATAATAAAAACAGGCAGTAATAACAGGTATCAGCTGTTTTGTTTACACTGATATTATGTATAATGCAATTATCCTACCCAACATCTTTACCTTGAACTGAACTTTTTCTTGGGGTCAGCTACTCCCACTTAATCTGGAGTTTAAATTTGGTAGAATGAAAAATGAAAAAGAATGTATTTCTGTTAAGTCTTCCCCCCCCTCACCTTTTCAACAATTCTGTATTGTCCCACAACAGAAGTGGTAAACCATATTAACAGAACACAAATTAACCTTAATTTAACATGAATATATTTGTGTTCCCCAATGCCAGATCAACTTTCCAAGCCAGTAGATGCTGCAATATGAGAAATATCTGTGTTACTAGATGTCAGAAGAGAGCATCCCATGGGATCCATGCTGCTACTGAGGGCTACAAATCACAGAACTGCAACCTCAGTTCCACCTGATTCACTGTAAATTGTGAGCTACTACATTACATCTGTGGTCCTCCTAAGGAAGCAGTAGAAGACCAGAATAAAGCATCGTAAATACTCAGAAGCCTTGCTACCAGCAGAAGCAGCAAAAACTATGCAATGTATTTTCCCTCTTTGAAAATTACCCTTTTGTTATCATTCTGCAGAGAGGCAGCTGGAGGCTGTATGTCAGAAAACAGCTCCAATTTGTTTTCTGTGGTGCTGCTTGAAGATGCACTTTCAAAGCACAGTTTACAAAATAACACAGGCTTTGATAATACACCACAAGGCTAAATTGCGATAAACCAGTGTGAGGATTCGTATTCCTTTCCAGCCCCAACACATACACTCTGCAGACATTTCCTGTGAGATCGGCAAGAAATTAAGAAGGATATTTTTGATTGGAGCAGCAGCAGTAAAAGCAGGAAGAAGTTTCTTTGTGTTAATAAAATGCCTGTAATCAGTTACAACTTTCCAATTACTACAGGAAATGTTTTCTGAAACCTTAAAGCCCTCTAAGTTACAAGCCTAAGCTTTTTATTTATTTACCCGAAATCTGCCTAGCATTTGTGCAGGACAAGTTTACGTAACTTACTTGAATAATAATTCACACACAGAAACTGCATGCCTTAAAACTTCCCAACGATAATCTCCCCATGGCTTGAACTCCAAGAAGGTAAAATACAACTTAAGTCAGCCATTTCTCTTCATAGTGATAAATGGAAACAACTAGAGTTTTAACAAGGCTATCTTAAAGGTGTTATTGTAAGAAAAGTGAAAATCTATTAAAAAACACTGAAAAACAAAAAACAAAATAAAGAGCACAGGAGTATAGAAGTATATTCTTCTATATACTCTTCAGAGTATA